GTCTCTACTTTGAATACACAATGGTCTGTTTGTTGGCTGCACTTGATCGTTCCTCAGTTGTGATATACATGTACTTTACAAAGAACATGCATATGTTCAAGTGACGTAATTACCACCATAAATAATTTGTAAATGAAAAACACGCATGTTCATGCCGGTGTCACCTGTGGCTACTATACAAGCCGTAGCCATGGCTGTCAACGCCTATTGTTTTCGAGTAGGGCGGTCTCAGTCCCGGGATCTCTGTCAGGTCTTCGCATTATTACTACGCCGGTGTCCTCTTGTGTGTGAAGGGCGGTCGGGTAGCCTAGTGGTTAAAGCGTTCGCCCCTCACGCCGAAGACCCGGGTTCGATCCCAGAAGTGTGAAGCCCATTTCTGGTGTCCCCCTCTGCGCTACTGATGACTAAGTGGCGTAAAACCATACTCACTCATTCTTGTGTGTGTGAAATAGCTTCAAGCTAACATTGCGATGACACAGTGTTCCTATATTGTCCCGTGTCAATGAACAGACAACATCTTTATCAAATTAACAATTGAATCGTTTCACAGCAATAATGATCATTTGTTTGTCAGAGTGAGTGAGTGAGTATGGATTTACGCCGCTTTTAGCAATATTCCAGCAAAATCACGGCGGGAGACACCAGAAATGGGCTTCACACATTGTACCCATGTCGGGAATCGAACCCGGTTGTTCGGCGTGACGAGCGAACGCTTTAACCACTAGGCTACCCGACCGCCCCTTTGTTTGTCAGAACACACCGTCTGTTCATCGTAGATGCCTACGGACTGCGTCCAATGGGATTTCACTCAAATTACCTGGCATTACATTGAAAACCTGACAGAGGTTGATGGTTGGTTGGTTGTTTAGCGCCGCAGTCAGCAATATCCCAGCTATATGACGGCGGTTTGTAAATAATTGAGTCTTGACCAGACAATCCAGTGATTGATATCATGGGCATCGGTCCACGCAATTGGGATCGATGACATGTTTCAACCAAGTCAGCGAGCCTGACCACCCGATCCCCTTAGTCGCCTCTTACGACAAGCATAGTCACCTTTTACGGCAAGCATTGGTTGCTGAAGACCTATTCTACCCCGGATGCTCACCTGACAGAGGTGTAACTGCAATACTGTTAAGAGGTTGAAGTTTGATACTTCCTCATTCCCATTCGCAGATGCCCCTATGATGCCACTATATTGGGATAAAACCAGGTCATTGCTGTCAGGAATCCAAATATGTGGATGTCAGCCAGAATATGACATGTGTGGATGGCCCATTTGCATAAACTGTTGAATACATTTCGAATCAATAATTTCGGTTTTCATTTCAGATCACAGTGTAATGATCTGTAAAAAGAATACATAAAAATTTAGAGGACAGAATCCATCGGGGACGCCCAGTGGTATAAAACGTTTTGCTCGTCGCGTGGAGGACATTATGTGAAAGCCGATAATAGTGTCCCCCTTCATATGACAGTTTTATTGCGCATTTACACCCTCGTTAGGCTGGATAAAAACAGTTTGTGAGTGAGTGAGTGAGTGAGTGAGTTGGGATAATCGCCGCTTTTAACAGTATTCAAGTTATATCACGGCGTGTCAGCTTAATGTGGGAGGAAAGCCCACAGTGATGCAGGTCTCAGGCGTTTACCACTTCGGTGAAACCCACGGGCACGGGTATGGTGCTGACAGACCTAGAAACATAACCTGGGCGAACCGGGATTCGAACCCACAATCATAGGTTACTGGCGTGCCCAAGGGACGCAACTCGATCTTCACAGCGAATCGCGGCGCCTTAGACGACTGGGCCACCCGTGCCCCCTAAAACAGTTTAGAAATTATACGTAAAAGAGTGAGTGAGTTGGGTTGGGCTTTCCTCCCACATTAAGCTGACACGCCGTGATATAACTGGAATACTGTTAAAAGCGGCGTTAAACCCAACTCACTCACTCTCACTTAATGAACTTACATGACCCAGTTGGGTTTCTCAACGTCAATCGTCGTATTTATAGCGAATTCAGGATGTGAGGGATCTGATTCTAATTGTCCCACTGGGTCGGGTCTGTCTATATACAGCTGTACAATGAGCGCCAGTGTCTGAGGGTTTTGACACAGTTGACGAGATCTTTAAAGATAAAATGGCCTCAGTCAACATCAGTTCGTTCTTGATGCCAACAGCGTGTCCCAGCAGTCTAAAACACCGAGATGCTGTACAGGGATGCGTCTTTTAGGTGCGCCAGGATCGTATACCCGTGGGTTCGAATCCCATTGATCATTGCTTATTTACCATAGCTATGTTGGGGAGTTTGGGGTCTTTGGTTGCATTTCGTCGGCATCACAAATTAAGCGGACACGCGTAGCCCAGTCGTTGGCTGTGCAGAGTTGCGTTCCTTGGGCACACCAAAAACCTATGATCTTGGGTGGGTTCGAATCCCGGTTCGCCCCGATTATGTTTCTAGGTTTGTTTGCTCGCTGGTTCCACCAAACTGGTAAACGTCGGATTTCCATCCTCATCAAGCTGACACGCCGTGATATGACTGGAATACTTTTCAAAGCGGCTTTAAACCCAACTCACTCAAATAAAGCTGACATGCCGTCCGGAAGCGGTCGATAAATTTCCAACATCATCATTATCAACAACATAGCGTGTAACTGTTCAAAACACCATAGACACAACTCGCTCATTAGCTATCCTGAAAGATCTACTGCGCATGAATATTCCTCAGATTAACATCGACAGTAAGTAGCATTATAGTAGCTGTATCCTAAACTAGAATTACTTTATAAATGTTAATTGGACAATTATGGGCGTCACTCGTAGCACTGGATGGTTTCACTCCCACAAGTAGATAAACTGTTCTTTAACGGACCCTAGACCCTTCCATATACCGACAGAGTGAGTGAGTATGGTTTTACGCCGCTTTAAGCAATATTCCAGCAATATCACGGCGGGGGACACCAGAAATGGGCTTCACACATTGTACCCATGACGGGAATCGAACCCGGGTCTTCGGCGTGACGAGCGAACGCTTTAACCACTAGGCTACCCGACCGCCCCTTATACCGACAGAGGAATACATTAACAGATAATGTGCCTTAGAAGAATCTGGTAACCCAATTTGACGATCAAACGCAGTCAGAGCACTCAGATTCGGTTTAAGTTGTCTCTGGAAAATACTAAACGTCCCTTGGGTATGTTTTGTTTTTAGAATTGGTCCCATCAATCTATCCTTGTCTAATAAGCGACTAGAGGGATCGGGTGGTCAGGCTCGGTGACGTTGTTGTTGGCGTCTCGTAGTTCCCCGAGGACGTGGGTGGTTGTTCATCACTGGATTGTCTGGTCCAGACGCTATTATTTATATGCCGCCGTCATATAGCTGGAATATTGCTGAGTGCGGTGTTAAACAACAAACACACAGTTACCAAAGCTAAGACGTAAGAGGCTACTATGCTTGTCGGAAGAGGCGACTAACGGGATCGGGTGGTCAGGCTCGCTGACTTTGTTGATGCATGTCATCGAATCCCAATTGCGTGGACCGATGCTCATGATGTCAATCACTGGATTGTCTGGCCCAGACTCCAGATTATTTACAAACCGCCGTCATACAGCTGGAATATTGCCGAGTGCGGTGTTAAACAACAAACAAACAAATAACAAACCAAAGTGACAATGAAAGTACAAAATTGTTTGACAGGCATTGTTGACGGATGACAAGTAGACAAAATTGAATGGACAATAACTCCTTTTTAATGCTGTAATAGTGACGTATTTGTACATATCCTTATTAACCGTTGTACAGCAAGACCGTCATGTAAATGGATTTTACAGAGTACGGAGTGGCACGTGTTTCATACATCGTCGTCTTAATTCGGTTAACGACCTTGCAATATTGTATTGAAAACACGCGTTTCCTGTTTAGCGTTCCATATGAATGATGCCTTACTGAAGGCGACTGTTAGTGTTTAAAAAGACGTCGTCATCAAAAGGCAAGGGAGTTAACCGACTATAAAAGTCCACTATCCGCCCCTGTCGTACTAGGCTGGAATTTCTGGGCTCGGTCGTTGCGACACCAGTGGCTATTACGGGTTATGTCCCATCCATGTTCCTCCCATTGACCAATCAGATTCCATCTCTCATATTACTTGTTTTTGCATGAAACAAAATGGCGGCGCCCAGTCAAGACGATCTGGTCGATAATCAAGATCCACATTGTAATAAAACGGGGTCTTCCTCCGCGAAGTGCTTCTAATCACATGTAAACCTTGATTAAAAACATGAACAAATTTGGAAAATGTCAACCATAGGGTCGCAACTCGCTATGCAGAATTACATCCCTTTGCCGCTAGGGTCTCCTGTTGTGTTTGACCCGTGAAGATTCGAATGGACAATTCATTTCGGTGACCCGACATATACATAACCTGTCTGGCTTCAAAGCCTGCATCATTCATAGCCTGAATCGATGTCGCTTTCAGTTTTCCCAAATGATTTTAAGACCCGTGAAGATTCCGGGGTAGATTAGGTCTTCAGCAACCCATGCGTGCCGTAAAAGGTGACTATGCTTGTCGTAAAAGGCGACTAACGGGATCGGGTGGTCAGGCTCGCTGACTTGGTTGATGCATGTCATCGATCCCAATGGCGTGGATCGATGCTCATGATATTAATCACTGAATTGTCTGGTCCAGACTCGATTTTTACAGACCGCCATAATATAGCTGGAATATTGCTGAGTGCGGCGTTAAACAACAAACAAAACCAAAACCAAATGATTTTAATGTTATTTTTAGACATTGAGGAATCCCCCTAAAGTAGTTCTGTATGACTCCGCGCGATTGTCAACGTTATCACGTGACATATTCAGTTTGGTCGTGTTCACCTTGGCGAGGTCACCCGCTACTGTCAATATTGTAACAGGTAATTGTTCAACTCAGCGTGACCCTGTTTGTCGCCAGTGTTAACCACCAAAACGTTTCAGCCCCAATTAAAAGAGGTCATTGGTTGCAGGTATGGATTGAGGCTGGCTCACAGGTCTTTTACTCACTCGGACCGGCATGGGGCTTACTGATTGTCATGTCAAGTCACAACAAGTTCACCAACAACTGCCTCAGGTCAGTATATCGACAGTGCTGTGTGACGTAATATGATGTCACTCTGACGTCATACACGTCACACAGCTTCATATCTGTGTGTTTGTTTATAATAAAGACTTTTCTTGCAGACATTATCTCCCGGGGCATATAACTTTGAGTGAAAGGAACAAATCATTTACGACAATAGATGCTGTGAAAGCCTGCATTCACTTTAAATACCAGACAGTACAAAAGTTTACTTTGGATTTTTTTCACTGGCCCTTTATCCTCATAACATTCCCAGTCCACTTTGTAAGTTGTCAGACTGGCCCTGATCGTGTCCTGTTTGATGATGGAGATTCGGTACTACAGTCACCAGGAAGAATTTCAAAGCAACCAGACCCCAAAATCGCTTATAATAGTATATAATATTTAATATCACAATTCAGTAGTGGAAGAGAATATTCCACACCAAGTACTTTATTCCCTAACCCTTGTGGGTGTACATTTGCCCAGACACCCGAGAAGATCCGGGAAGAGAATAGGTCTTCAGCAACCCATGCTTGCCTTAAGAGGCGACCATGCTTGTTGTAAGAGGCGACCAACGGGATCGAGTGGTCAGGCTCGCTGACTTGGTTGATGCATGTCATCGATCACAATTGCGTAGATCAATGCTCATGATATCAATCACTGGATTGTCTGGTCCAGACTCGATATTTACAGACCGCCGTCATATAGCTGGAATATTGCCGAGGAAGGCGTTAAACAACAAACAAACAAAACATTTACCCAGAAGCGTCAATGGTTGAAATGAAAGCGTCGTTCACTCGCAAGGCCAGTTTCTACCGAAGATATTATCTTGTAAGAAAATGGGCATGAAACCAAACAATAGTAACATCATTCTACTACATCATGTCCTATGTGTATCTCTATCCAACTGACAAACTCACAAACGTGTTGTTTCCTGAATGAAAAAAAGCCGAATCAATTTGTAAACAACGGATTCTGATTGTTTGAAGCATAGTGGAGAGGGTTACTTGCATATTCTCTGTTGCCTATCAAAATATCCTTTAATGCTATCCAGCAGTTCGATAATCCTTCAAAGTTAACTTTTGTTTAAATGCATTTCAAGTATTCAAATTGGTAATGTTTTGTGGAGTGTTGTTTCTAAATACGTTGTGGAGGAAGCATATTTTAAGACTGTGGCCTGTTCTTTTAACTCATCTATGCAATAGGAGATTTCCTAATTTAATTTAGCCAGAACTTGAATAAACAAAATGTTCTTAAGATAAGCTTACCAAAATCTGCTTGCAAACTATGCTTACATTTTCTGACAAAATATGATATTGTTCTTAAGATATGCTTCCAAACATCTTCAAATGATGCTTACACTATCGCATATTTTCCCTTATAAAATATTGTAAACATCTTTGTGTTAACAGAACTATAACAAAATATGATTTACTTCACAGTTATGCATTTGAAGATGACAAGCAATGTATCTAGAAACAATGTTTCAGTCTCAGCCTGGCAGATATTATTTACCTTAAAGATACTACTATTCTGTGTGTTCTCATGTGTATTTTACATCTTCAAACTCGGAGAGCTTTTCAAATACATCGACATATTCAAATTCACATTCAAAGTATCTTTAAATGCTCAAGTTGATTAAATTATATTGTAATTGGCCTCATAAACATACAGCTGCATTTTGAATCCTAAGCAAATTTAAGCTCGAAATCTGCAAATGGATTGTGCCTTTTTGCCTCTTATAGGAGTCGTGCGTGGCATAATGGTTGTTTTGTGGATATTCCGAAACGTTCTGATGGTCGAAAACAATGGTTTTTTATATATAAAATCTTGGGCATGTCTTGCCACATCCAGTCAGCAAAGATGGATTGTTTAGTGTGATTAACTGGTCATTAGTTCATGGCAAACAATCACATTGAGGTCATCCTTAATTCTTCCAATAACGTAGTCGTTCGTACTCATCCAACACACTTAAAATGTTGGGTTGTACTGGTCGGTTGATTCTTCACGTGATTCAGTTTCTGGTTGTTGATCATGGAGGCCTCGGATGCCTATCATACAAGGACGACGATTCTTTCCCATAGTAACAAGAATGCATCATGTTCAGCTATATAAACTTGAGTTATTGTTGGTGGTCCACACATAACTGGTGTCATACCCTTTCGTCATGTGCTGAAATGGATGGATATGTTTATAAGTTGGCAATTATTCAACAGTCAGTTAAATAAACTTGTTTTCTAGTTTGTATTGCGTTCGTTTCATCCTTTTGAATCTTTCTGGCTTGTTGTTGGACTACTCCGTGTTCGTGGATTTCAGTGGGTTACAAATCACTCCCAAGAAGAACCATTCCAAGACGCAGGACCAAGGCTATTCAGCATTGATCTCCCAACGAGTTATTGTCTCCTTGTTGCTAGAAAAGCACAACTCATGCCTAGAATCGCCGAAAATGTAGAAACAATGGAAAATTAGTCAACGCGAACAACTCCTGTTTCTCCAAAGATGTTCCTGCAGTTAACCTTTGTTTTCAGAAGGGATGACAAGAGATGATTTGGTCTTGAAAGACTTGTATCAACACGAGCAGGTTTGAAGGAACTTCTTTGGACAACCAGGTTGTTAATCAATTTGAAATGACTCTGCGTTAAGAGAAACATTTGTCTCTTGGAAGCTATTACCTTGGAGAATGCTTTTGTAAAAATATAATTAGAATGGTCAGGGGGGTATATCTCATTTAAGTGTATTGTAGTACAATCCTGCATACTTCATCGATTAAAATTTATGTGAGTGCAAGAACCTTTTTTTGATATTTTCCAAGAAGACAGTTTTCAAGAGACAATTTTTGAACAGACACAAACCGTGGTTGACTGAAGTTTTGTCATGTTTTGCCCGGAAAACATCCATGAGCGGAGATGCAGGTTGACTATAATCTTACATGAAATCATAAAACTGCTGCTATTGAGATGATTCCTTTTTCTAGAAATCCATTGAAATACGAAGGCTGTGCATAAGACCATATACAAACATTTGAATCCAAGAATTATTTTTTTTAGATTTAGAAAAAACATTGTAAGCTATTATCATTACAAAACTTACCTTCGCTCATTGGATTGCTATCCAAATACGTACAAATTTGACACGGCGATGTTTATGCATTACACCAATTCCCTGCACGGTCCTTAAAGGACGTGCCTTATGTGCTCAACGCTCTTTTCTTGTGTTTTCAGAGATGCAGTGCTTATCACTTTCCTTGGGGAAGGGACCAGTTTATATGGAGGCTTTGCCATATTTTCAGTGCTTGGATATATGGCACAAAAAGCTGGAGTCCCCGTATCAGAAGTTGTTAAATCAGGTTGACTCCATCCCTCAAAATTATGCTTGCATTTAAAACCAAGGAATGGGAAGGGGAGGTTACTCTTAATATAGATGGGAGATAACTCTACACCTAGTTTGGGGTGGTTGCTGTTTCTTGTCGGACAGTATTTTCGTCGCTCCAAGCACTAATGGAATCAAAACCAAAGCCACGTCCCCGTTTACGGACACTTTTCGATACATGCATGTACAGAAATACTGGATTTCGGATACATTGAATGCAAATCTGCATGTCAATAAAAAGGAAAGGGGTGATTGAATGGAGGCATTATCCTATTCAAATGGAATGAAGCGATTCACCATTTCTCTTTCTCTCATGCTATGCCTTTACACAAATCATTCGAAGACTATTATTTCTATTATTTCGTTCGTTATATAATCGAGATAGTTTCATTTGTGATATTGATTTTTTCATTCCACTAATTAGATGAATACTAATGCAGTATTTGTCGAATATTTTTTAAATAGATCCATAGTTGTATATCATGCTAAACGGCATTTTCCTGGATATACTTATATTTTGCTTTTCTATATTATGGAAGCCCTGTAGTCATTTCCATTTACAGTCAGATGTTTTTAATGATCCACTGTATTTTTTAAATAATGCATAATAACAATTTCAATCACTCAAATGTATCGGAGCTGCGACGCACTGAGTTTCACTGTTAACGACTAATAAGCACTTAGTTGCTCCATTTCTTGACAACATGGTGTGAAACGAACCCCGACCCTACCTTCCGTTTCCCATTCTAAGACTTAACATGTGTAATAATAACTAATGTGTGTTAAACGCAGCATAATGCCGTGATAACCATTCCCTTTTCGCTGTTCGACTAACTAACTCAAAACTGTTCCAGGAAACATTATAATTTTATGACAGGTAAGTTAAAGGTGAAACATGTTTCTATCATGTTGTAAATGAACAGACGACTCGTTTGGAATAGGTTATTATTACTTGTTATCGAAACTTCCTGTATCATTCTTCGAAAAGTAATTGCATTATACACGTGTACTGTTTTGAAGGTATGCTAATTCTAGCGGTTATATTTCAGGGCCCGGACTTGGGTTTATTGCTTATCCTGAGGCACTCACGACTCTGCCTCTCCCTCAACTCTGGAACATCCTGTTCTTCCTCATGCTTCTGACTGTTGGTCTCGACACACAGGTAGTGCTCATATTTGACTTCATACTGTTGTTTAGCATGGAACTCCGATCTAAGGCAGGCCCAAATCAGTGGCGGGGCGGTCGGGTAGCCTAGTGGTTAAAGCGTTCGCTCGTCACGCCGAAGACCCGGGTTCGATTCCCGATTGGTACAATGTTTGAAGCCCATTTCTGGTGTCCCCCGCCGTGATATTTGCTGGAATATTGCTTAAAACGGCGTAAAAACATACTCACTCACTCACTAATCAGTGGCATATTGATACTCATGGCAAGAATATACAATGACTTTCAGGGCTCGATTTAAGGAACTTGGAGTATCTTTTGCCAGGTGCATATTACCATTAAAACTTAGCATAGGACAGAACCAGGCTGCACCCTTGTCTCATAAATTTATCAAAGTTGAAATCTAGGCGAGGCTTCTGCCTGTGTCACATTAACTGATGACGTGTTGTTGTAAAACGTAATAGGAACATGTGCACATAATCTTGAAGTACCCACAGTTTGCTGACGTCAAGCCCACGAAAGCATGACAAATTAAAACTAACACAGATATTTGTGATGTAGTATGGTAAATAAAGCTTAAAGGTATAGAATGTGCTCACTTGTGTGGACAAGTAAGGATTACTCAGACACAAATTCGAAATTCTTTAGCATGCAATTGGTGCATATAGACATAAATATTTACATATTATGTTGCATATTTCAATATTAGGTAGCACTGGTGCATGTCTTAAAAATCTAAAAGCTAAATCAGGCCCTGCTATTGTCACATGACATCATGGTCAAGAAGCTACTCTTCGCTTGTTGGTAATTCGTCATTGTTTCATCCTGCACTGTGTTAGCCGCAGTGCAATCTTTTCCCGCCCCTTCTTCCCCACATTAATGTCTCTCCTTAGATTCTAACTATTACTGAGGAAAGAATCACGTATGTAATGTTCGCTTTCCTCATGTTTCAACCTTTATTCTCAGCCATTGTGCAACAATCTTTATGACTCTAAGGGTCAGTTAAATTTCCAGGATAAGACTGCCATTTCCATGTTAAAATATATACATACACCGCCACCTCCGACTAGCATGGTGATCTCTCTTCAGTAGCTGGCGATCTATAGCTCATTTTTATCTTGTATTGTTACGTATGGTGTTATATTTTTAAGGTTATCCACTAGTTTTAAATAAAATCTGTGATACATATTTATTTTTTTACTGTTCTTCGAAGACAGGTTTTTTATACAATCTAAATATATCTATTTTGAATATAATACCTTTGCTCGTCACGATATGGCTGAAATAATGCCGATGTGACGTTAAATTTTAAGTCGCTCACTCACCACCCACCCCCACCACACCCCAACCACACCCCTACGACACACACACACACACACATACACACACAGAGAGAGAGAGAGAGAGAGAGAGAGAGAGGAACACAAACACACACACAGGCGTCGTTAAGTTGGCAATGCACTTAAAAGCCATCCATGCTTCATTTGCAATATACACACACCTGCAACGCGTAGATTCCGATTAATCACATACGCAAGCATTAGCCCTTATTCCAACGGTAAGACATCGCGTGCTGTAAATTTTTTAAAAAGTTGACCTTAGAATAACCAGTGATGTCCTCAAAGCCTGTCGGCACGTGAAATACCGCTTACCGGTTAACACATGGTAATTTAAGAGCGCAATACATGCTCTTTGTTCCTTGATGGATTATTCGACGAATACCGGGTTCATATGGTCCCCAGCTGTCGGACATGCCAGCGAGGTCACCATGACCGAGCTTGACATTTTGAAGAATGTGCAAACTCTTTGTGAAATATTTATTAAGCTGATATCCTACACACCGACTTCATACCTAATATGACACCCTTTAGCCATCCGCCTCCGCCTGTTGTTATGTAAGCAAGTTAATTCTTTATCACTCTCAGTCTTTGTGGATACTGCTGACACACCCTTCTGCAACAGCTGCGGAACAAACGCATTCATACAAAGTTTTAAAGTTACCTTAAACACGACATAGCACTCCGAACACAGGCTTCCGTTGCGTAATGTGATAAACAGCTCGTTTTTACAATGTAGGCTAATGTACCTGGAGGTGTAAATGGGCTAAGTAACGTCAAAGGTGTCATATTCTACCATGGCAAGCTACAATCCTTGGGCCCACAATAACTTATTTATTTTACTGTAGTTGCGATGTTTCGATATATATCCTTATACCGTTGTCAAGCAAGGCTGATTAGAACATAATATAACATTTGCAACACAAAGTGGCCGAGTGATGGCCATTAATAGTTATTTTCGGAACACGTGAACAACTTTAGGGGGCGCGATTCGCTTGCAGAGTTGCGTCCCTTGGGCACGCCAGAAACCTATGATTGTGGGTTCGAATCCCGGTTCGCCCCGATTATGTTTCTAGGTTTGTCAGCACCATACCCGTGCTCGTGGGTTTCACCGAAGTGGTTAACGTCAGAGACCTGCATCACTTCGGGCTTTTCTCCCATATTAAGCTGACACGCCGCGATATAACTGGAATACTGTTAAAAGCGGCGTTCAACCCAACTCACTCACTCACTCATTCACTGAACAACTTTAGGTGTCACCATGGTGGGAAAATTAAATTAGGAACATGGTTCAATCGCAAAGGTCAAATCACGGTCAAATTAAAATAAAATAACCCACACTAGACCAAGAACTAAATTTCATAAAATCATGAACAATAATGGCCTGTGATGGGTTTTCAAGATGGCTGTAGTTGTGGCCATGTTTAAAATCAACAAATTAGGGCGTCGTAGTTGATACTCAGAATCATGTGAACTTGCAACTTCTTTGGTTCAGTGTCTCCGACAATATGGAGACAAAAAAACTGTGCTGGTATTATTAATGAAATAATGAAAGCCTAAAAGCTAGTAGGTATATTAATTACGACCAAACAGCCATTATATTGATCTCTTTTTCTGGAATGCTTGTTTGCAGTCGCAATAACCAGGACAGGTACATTATATCATACATAAATTGATGAATTATTGATTATTGATATTTTATTGTACGTTTTCCAGTTTGTACCGAATTACGCGTGTCTGTATAAATTATACCACCTGTCGGGCTAGAAGAGTTCCTCAGCAACATATGCTGGTTGTAAGAGGGGCCCAACATGATAGGTAGTCAGTTGTTTGTTTGTTTGTTTGTTGTTTAACGCCACAGTATTCAAGCTATTTGACGGCGATCTGAAAATAATCGAGTCTGGACCAGACAATCCAGTGATTGGCATCATGAGCATCGGTCCACGCACTTGGGATACGATGACATGCATCAACCAAGTCAGCGAGCCTGACCACCCGATCCCGTTGGTCGCCTCTTACGACAAGCATTGGTTGTTGCTAAGTGCGGCGTTAAACAACAATCAAAGAAACAAAACAAACATCATGCACCAGGACAATTTTGCTGGAGTCATGTATGCGAGAAACCGAATACTCGCTGCGACAGCATGTGAGGCACATGGGGAAACTGACATAAACAGTGTCGCGGGAAACAACCGACTTCTATGACTGAACCGGCTGGCACGGAATCAAGGTTACGAGAGGTGTTATTGTTTTGCTTCTACGAGCCTGGGAATCGTACAGCGAAGAAAACTGTAGTTCTTACTAACGACATTGGTCTGTGATCACAATAGGGGGCAGTGGCCAAAATACAGACTGACTGCGAATTAATATTGACTTATTGGCTGGATCGGCAACGTGATCAGCTATTCGCAATTATAGAAGGCCTGGCTATAGAAGCCTGGTGGCTGATCGTGGTTTTACTGTATGTTCGATATACTCACACTTCCTACCACTGGTAGACTGCGCAGCTGTTCTCAAGCTTAACCAGAGAGGCATGTTTTCGTGATGAGGTGACTGACTGACTGACTGAGTATGGTTTTACGCCGCTTTTAGCAATATTCCAGCAATATCACGGCGGGGGACACCAGAAATGGGCTTCACACATTGTACCCATGTCGGGAATCGAACTCGGGTCTTCGGCGTGACGAGCGAACGCTTTAACCACTCGTGATGAGGTGAGGGAGATTAAGTGATGTTGGGTTTAATGTCGTATTCAAGTGTGTTTCGCTTTTATGGACGCATGCAACATGTTTGTATGGCTGTTTGTACGAGTCCGGACCAATGCCCGTTATATAGATGATATTATGTCGCAGTTTAACATGGATACCCTATACTATGTCCTCCAGTAGGCAGAATGTGCTCAGATCTGAGCAGAGATTGTGGAGTTTCAAGTTACAAAATGACATTCCATTAACAGGCTCAGTGCTGGTCCTTATGCAGAGGGGCCTTGGGAGGGTGGATCTTTAAGACAGATAACGGCGATCATATTGCCAAGCAAACACCACTGTGTAACAAAGTACCCACTCAGACAGAGTATACTGGCTCCGAGATCACTTGTTTATATCCCGTTGATGTCGTGCGTGAAGTTGTGTAACAAGTGTATGGTTTTCACTACAATCTAGTCAATCTAGGACTACAAAGCTCATCGTTGTTGAAAGCAGCGTTAAACCCAACATAGTCACCGTTGCGTAACATATTCATAGGTTACAACATCATGTGAATGCGATGTAAACAGAACTAAAGATTTCGAAATATGAATGAGTGAGTCGGTGCCTTTTGTGATGGGTATGACAGGGAGCTAATACTGTGTAGGAGATACGCCAAAGGTGATTTTGACAGTAGACCTCTGTCGCGATCACCGATAGGTACTAATAACCCAAATATCATAATCCGAACGATTTGTCGAACCTGAATTAGCTTGAATTATGAATTCTAATTATTATATATCTATTTGAGGGCTTTGGTGGGTGACCGTGTTCGGCTGCCTAACTCCAGAGCGTTTTTTCGATCCTGTCCAACACATGTAGCACATGCGACCTTTTCGAAATAAGCCTCTATTCACCCAGCAGTGAATGGGTACCCGGTAGAAAGGGATGTTTTGGGTTTTTTGCTGTTTTTAACGCCGCACTCAGCAATATTCCAGCTATACGACTGAGGTCTGTAAATAAACGAGTCGGGACCAGACAATCCTGTGACTGACATCATGAGCATCGATCCACGCAAATGGGATACGATGACACGTATGAACCAAGTCAGCGAGTCTGACCACCCGATCCCGTTAATCCTCTTTTACGGCAAGCATGGGTTGCTGAAGACCTATTCTTATCCGGATCTTAACGAAATGATTGTTAACCTTCTAGCGCTTCCAAGGCAGCTTAGGTGTATATTCCCCAGGGAGCTGCGAATGGCAACAACCGAATGCTCACTGATCCTTCGACCGGAGTAATAATACCGCAGCGATTCCAGCAAACATTGCGTAGGGAGTTACGGGTTTTACAACCTGACACAAGAATGTGCAGGCGGATGTTGTTGTGAAGAGAACCATGGACCACATGTAATTACTCTTGAATCTGCAACCATTGCCTGATAACCATATGCACATCTTGTGAACGGATTTCCTGCTAGATATAGCCTTGCTCCAAGGCTGTACTGAATGATAAGTCCATGGATGTGTAGTTATTCTATCCTCCTAATAAGCAAGTCTAGATATGTGGACTACAAGGACTCCAGTCTCTTATAGGGACAACTTGTTCTTATTATTTACATAAGATAGAAATAATGATTTATACTAACAGCTATTGCCTTAGAGACTTGTGCAAGTCTATGCTAGATACTGCGTCAGAGGTTGTGGTTTCCGTGTGGATTGGCCACCCAGGCAGAACTAGGGTTTGGGCCAGTGCAACTGGGTCGGCCGCAGGAACCGCGGTAGACTAACGCCTAGTCTCTGAAGAGATATAATTTTGATACTAGAAACAATAAATCCATTTTAATTGACAAGGAGCCCCAGTGAGATGAGAGTTTCAGAACCCATGGAAAATCTAGACTTGCTTCATTTAGGGTTATAGCATTACAGTAAGGGCTGGGCCTTCTGATTGAAACAGATGGTTTGGCGGCCACATCACCGCGGAAGCTAATATTCATAGTGAGTGAGTGAGTGAGTTTGGTTTTACGCCGCTTTTAGCAATATTCCAGCAATATCACGGCGGGGGACACCAGAAATGGGCTTCACACATTGTACCCATGTCGGGAATCGAACCCGGGTCTTCGGTGTGACGAGCGAACGCTTTAACCACTAGGCTACCCGACCGCCCCTAATATTCATAGAATAGTCCTTATTTTTAGTCATTGTCATTAGGAATATTTAAATAATTATATCTACATTTACAGGTTCCAAAATGCAAAGTTGCGGTTACTACAATGCGTGGCAATACATGCAGCGAGGTCTCAAATGTTAAATTTAGCGCGGATTAATCTACAGGTAACCTAGCTCCACAGTGAAAACACAGTGTGTTCATCTCCTAAATAAATGCCAGGAATGAAAATTATATCTTCGCAACTTAGAACTCATTCACCCGATATGCATTTCATAATGAATCACGCGGAATGCAGGCTTTTTATGACTTGTATAGCACTATTGCGCCCTGTATATTACTTAACTGTCATCACCATACACAGACGTGCGTTCAGGACACATACACAGCCTTTGAGAACAATCAGTCACAAACGGGCGAGTGGAGCCGGAAAAGCTTAAAATATTACAATATATTGATCAGAAACAATCTTCAGATAACTCTGTCCCGAGATTGCCGTAATAGGGCAAATATTAAACTGGATTCTAAATGTTTTCAGGGGAAATGAAAATTCCGCAGTTAGCTAGATACCAACATCTCGTATGACTTTAATAATACCCTCATTCAATACCAGTGACTGATTCTATACCCGAACACACAAAATATGCGATTGATTTTGCCCCCTGAATTGCATTGATCATCGTAAAAGTGATTAACTGTTTACATTAATGTGTTCCCACGTGGCTGACTGTGGTTGACTCATTGTTGACTCATTGTTGTTTTTTGTGTTCTTGAAACGTGGAAAAAGATCTATCACCAATGGATCTTTGTTTTACACAATATAAATATATAACGGAAACGCCATAGAATAATCAGTCTAAATTATCCGACGAAACAGATTCAGTTGGGCGAAAAAAGCAAAATAGCCGTGAAACTGTTATCAATGGATCATTGAAAATAGGTGATGGCACCAGATGCTTACAACAGCATGCTGTCCCCAACTGGTAGCACCTGCTACTCACCAAATGTGCATAAAACGCATGTGTTTTGTTGACACCACAAGAGTAATCCTACCATGCGACGGTGGCAGGTAAATAATAATAATCATCTTGACTCGACGTGAAACCCCATATCATTTCAATTTAGACACAGACGAAGCCAATAGTATATGTCTGGGATACGGGAGGTCCAGATTGCAGGATTTCACCGATTTTCACCGAACTTTCTATTGATCGAAATGCGGCGAAATCTGAAGCAGTAATTATAATGTAGGTAAAGACAAGAACGGACACGTAGACTCGACATCAAATTTAATAATAAATTAAATAATAAAATATTCACCCAAGCTCTCATCCTTTCTCATCTCGAGCAGCCTGTAATCTTACCCGATCTCATCTCTAGGCTTGAAATTAACAGACTTGAGAATTCCTTACTATTCGTCGGATCAGTCATGGAAATATTTGTGTTTAACCTCATATAGGACTTTACTTCGGGACTGCATGTAAGTCTACACGAAGCCTGGCACGAGTGTGCCTAACGTGATATCCCAGTGGTACGTGCAGAGCGTGGGAAGTCCCAGTGGGCTCATGAATCACTATGGGATATCACCGTAGTTGCAACCGTCGTGATGCCGCTGTGAAGTGTCGTCAATCAGCCCACTCAAGTGTTGCGTTAAATAACGACATGATATATTGATCATTCTATTCTTTTTTGGAAAGTTATTTGTCATCGTGGTCATGACGGGGTGCTTACTCACTTCAATAAATCGTTGGAAAAAAACATGCTGCTCAATGGGGAGAGGGTGGGTGGTGGGTCATTCATTCATTCATTCATTCATGAGGGTGGGTGGGTGGTCATTCATTCATTCATTCATTCATTCATTCATGAGGGTGGGTGGGTGGTCATTCATTCAATCAATCAATCAATCAATCAGACAGTCAGTCAGTCAGTCATTTATTACTAGTTTCCATTTTCCTATTTGTGCTAGGTGTGTGTGTGTGTGTGTGTGTGTGGGGGGGGGGGGGGGGGGGGGGGGGGATGTGTATGTTGGGGGGGGGGGGGGGGGGGGGGGGGGGGGTGCAACTTACATATACTGAAACGGCACTTGCTATCAACTACTGCCGGTAGCGGTAGGGAGCAGAATTCAACTACAAGTCAACATTCCTCAACCAAAACCTTCTCAAATTAAATGATGCCTTTTGGTATTTTAATAATATTTACAATAAGGGCGTTTTCAGTCAATCACACTGGGTTAGTTGTCATCACTTTAGAAGCATAAGTGACACAACAATATATCTTCACAAATACATATAAAACTAGTAGTCACATGGAACCTTTTTCATGAGGTATTAGGGAATTTGACTTATCCTTTCCAATAACATGTACACAGTTAAGTCTCCAGAAATAACCCCAAACCGTGAATATTATTTGCGAAATACTCTCTATGGTTACCAGTCGAACTCGCCTTACGATGACATCTAACGTTTCAGTTCGGAATGACGGAGATCATATGTGGCACTGTGTTGGAGAGTTTCCCGCGGCAGCTAGCAAAGAGGAGAACACTGGTGACTGCAGCTATCTGTGGCGGGTTCTTCATCCTTGGGCTGCCCTTGACAACATCGGTAAGACCTTCAATGTCCTTGTCACTGTATTCCTGAGTGTTGTGTGCTAGAGTACCTGAGAAATAACTGTAGTTACCGAAAAAATATCATTATTTGCCTGCAAGAGGAGATTCTGTAGACGAGTTGTTGGAATAACGACGACATTGTTCTGTGAATCTCTCGCCAATCAAATTAGATTTTTGTGCTCCCCACCGCTACATCCCATTACAGGTCGGATATCCCATTACAGGTCACGACCTCTCGCGAACTTTGACGGACCAATGAAATGTCAAACAGGAAGTCGACATTGGTTTATAAGAAAGCAGCTTCCCTATGCTTTACGACTTTTCAAAATGGCGACTTCTATTCCAGATTACGCTTCAAAAATATTTTAAGCAAGTTCTCTATTCAAAACTGAACAAAAGACAAATGTCGAATGTCTTATAGATAGCCTAGATTGCATGGCAGTACATCCCACGGACTATGGAAGGTCTCTTTCGTTTCAAATATTTATTGCATTGAAGCGAGAGACAGGAAGCTAGATGACGAGAAAACACATTCAGACTTTCACCTTCGCGATCTGGTAAACGACTCTCTGATTGGTCGGGGGAAATGTCGTTCTGGTGTGACCTGTAATAGGATGTCCTCCGATGTCCTAGTCTCCACTTAATACGGGCCGCAATTTGCTAGTTGTCTCCCTTAGGCCCACCAGTATCCTATGAAGGTGGGCCCGAATCCAGATTTGATCTGATTTTGACTCTTGGTTTGTCAGGACTATGTCCAGGCTCCAGGACCTCATCGTCTAAGCTCTGCATCACCTATTAGTTGGTTGTTCTCCCACATTAAACTGATGGTCAGGTGGAGCTCTGATACTGTTCAAAGCCGCGATAAATTTAATCCGTTCACACTCGCAACAGGTTAATCAAGAGAAGTGAGATAGCCAAGTGGTTACAGTGTTGACGAATCACGTCGAAGATGCGGGTTTGATTCCCTTGTGTGCCCCTTGTTGTAATATTGTCTGAACATTGCAGAAAACAGTTCCGACTATTATTAAAGCACAATCATTATTCCGAATTTGGGTAGGGTACAACTCAATGTACAGAAAGTAACCTGGGTTACATATTATGATGGTCGAAAGACGGCCCCCACAATTCTTCACTCTCTGCTGTAAAACAAACGTCCCTTCGGTGCTTCGAACGGGTGTCCAATTGTAATCAGTGTGTGGCTACCCACATTCCCCTCCAGCCTGTATGAGTCTGTTGTTTGACATCACTCCTAGCCTGTATGGGCCTGTTGTTTGACATCACCTCTAGCCTGTATTGTCTGTTGTTTGACATCCCCTCTAGCCTGTATGGGTCTGTTGTTTGACATCACTCCTGGCCTGTATGTGTCTGTTGTTTGACATCACCTCTAGCCTGTATGGGTCTGTTGTTAAACATCACTCCTAGCCTGTATGTGTCTGTTGTTTGACATCACCTCTAGCCTGTATGGGTCTGTTGTTAAACATCACTCCTAGCCTGTATGTGTCTGTTGTTTGACATCACTCCTGACCTGTATGTGTCTGTTGTTTGACATCACCTCTAGCCTGTATGGGTCTGTTGTTAAACATCACTCCTAGCCTGTATGTGTCTGTTGTTTGACATCACTCCTGGCCTGTATGGGTCTGTTGTTAAACATCACTCCTGGCCTGTATGTGTCTGTTGTTTGACATCACTCCTAGCCTGTATGTGTCTGTTGTTTGACATCACTCCTGGCCTGTATGTGTCTGTTGTTTGACATCACCTCTAGCCTGTATGAGTCTGTTGTTTGACATCACTCCTGGCCTGTATGGGTCTGTTGTTAAACATCACTCCTGGCCTGTATGTGTCTGTTGTTTGACATCACCTCTAGCCTGTATGAGTCTGTTGTTTGACATCACTCCTGGCCTGTATGGGTCTGTTGTTTGACATCACCTCTAGCCTGTATTGTCTGTTGTTTGACATCACTCCTAGCCTGTATTGTCTGTTGTTTGACATCACTCCTAGCCTGTATGGGTCTGTTGTTTGACATCACCTCTAGCCTGTATTGTCTGTTGTTTGACATCACTCCTAGCCTGTATTGTCTGTTGTTTGACATCACTCCTAGCCTGTATGGGTCTGTTGTTTGACATCACTCCTAGCCTGTATGAGTCTGTTGTTAAACATCACTCCTAGCCTGTGTGGCTCTGTTGTTTGACATCAGTGAGTGAGTGAGTGAGTATGGTTTTGCGCCGCTTTTAGCATTATTCCAGCAATTTCACGGCGGGGACACCAGAAATGGGATTCACACATTGTACCCGGGTCTTCGGCATGACGAGCAAACGCTTTAACCATTAGGCTACCCGACCGCCCCTGTTCGAGATCAACCCTAGCCCGTCGGTGTCTATCGTTTGACATCACCCCTGTCGGTATGTGTCTGTTGTTTGACATCACCTCTAGCCTGTATGAGTCTGTTGTTTGACATCACTCCTGGCCTGTATGGGTCTGTTGTTAAACATCACTCCTGGCCTGTATGTGTCTGTTGTTTGACATCACCTCTAGCCTGTATGAGTCTGTTGTTTGACATCACTCCTGGCCTGTATGGGTCTGTTGTTTGACATCACCTCTAGCCTGTATTGTCTGTTGTTTGACATCACTCCTAGCCTGTATTGTCTGTTGTTTGACATCACTCCTAGCCTGTATGGGTCTGTTGTTTGACATCACCTCTAGCCTGTATTGTCTGTTGTTTGACATCACTCCTAGCCTGTATTGTCTGTTGTTTGACATCACTCCTAGCCTGTATGGGTCTGTTGTTTGACATCACTCCTAGCCTGTATGAGTCTGTTGTTAAACATCACTCCTAGCCTGTGTGGCTCTGTTGTTTGACATCAGTGAGTGAGTGAGTATGGTTTTGCGCCGCTTTTAGCATTATTCCAGCAATTTCACGGCGGGGACACCAGAAATGGGATTAACACATTGTACCCGGGTCTTCGGCATGACGAGCAAACGCTTTAACCATTAGGCTACCCGACCGCCCCTGTTCGAGATCAACCCTAGCCCGTCGGTGTCTATCGTTTGACATCACCCCTGTCGGTGTCTATCGTTTGACATCATCCCTAGCCGGTATGTGTCTGTTGTTTGACTTCACCCCAAGCAAGTATGTGTTTGTTGTTTGACATAACCCCTGTCGGTGTGTATCGTTTGACATCACCCCTAGCAGGTATGTGTCTGTTGTTTGACATCACCCCTGTCGGTGTCTATCGTTTGACATCACCCCTGTCGATGTCTATCGTTTGACATCACCCCTGTCGATGTCTATCGTTTGACATCACCCCTGTCGATGTCTATCGTTTGACATCACCCCTGTCGGCGTCTATCGTTTGACATCACCCCTGTCGGTGTCTATCGTTTAACATCAGCCGGTATGTGTCGGGTGACCCTGAGATGACTGGTTTTGTTTCCGATGCTAAGACTGCAATGACACGCTGGAAGCAAGCGGGGAACGCAAGGGGATGCCAGCAGTGAAATCGCTATCGATCACAGGATTGTCCGCTTGCCTAGAGCGATCGCCAGAGACCAGTTTGAGCCGATTACTCAGCTGCTGCGAAGTTAAACATTGAGACTCAAGCGTGTGTTGTCACAGTCTCAACCTATCGCCTTAACTTGATGGATTCGTAACCACTCGTGCATTTCCGGCTAAGGCGATTTGCCCCCGGAATAACACGAGTTGAGGCATGTGCATGTGATGCGGTGGGCTGACTTGATTACTGCCTGTACACATCTGTGCGCATTTATACATTAATCAGGTGGAGTGATATCTGCTTGTTTATGCGTCATCGTGAACTGACAATGTATTTCATAATTTTGTACATCCGCCTTAATTTCCTGAAATCTGTACCTGACACCTAATAGACATATGTCACTTCAAATAGGGACCTAGACTATCTAGGGTAGTGTGTATCTCGTTATTACTAATCAGGACTATCGAAGTTCCATTCGCTGTCTGGGCTGCGTGTAGTGGGGGCAAGGGCCCTGAGCTGATGATGAGCGTAACCAGCCTAACCAGCCTCCCAAACCCTCTTTGCTGCATTTTATATAATTTTAATCTGTATATAATTATTGACATTTGTATTGCGCCAGTTCCCTCGAACATGCACTGCGCCAAAACTGTATGAATTAAGCTGAAATACCGTTCCTAGCGGCGTTAAAAGTCCACTCACTCACTCTATCTATCTCATGGTTTGCAGGCGGGTGTCTACTACTTCCAACTGATGGACTGGTACTCCACTTCGTTCGGTCTTCCCCTGATCGGCTTTGTGGAGTGTGTTGTGTTCGCCTGGATATACGGTACGTGTTTGGGGAATAGGGCAATTGGAAGGAGGGGGATTAGAAGGGGTAAGAAATATGAATTTTCGAGAGTTTCAAGTTAAGATAAAAAACTAATATTTTGTGCGGAACAATTCAATGACTGAGACGTATATTTGATTGGTTTGGCCGCTAAACTGACATTCTGCTGATATCTTGAGGAACTTGAGAACGTGATTAGCTTTTGTGAACCATTTTGTAAACCTTCCGCCCCGACGTGCCTTTGCGTGTTGACATATTTAATCAAGAATGTGCTTCCGTTTTAGGAACGGACCGCCTGAGTGATGACATCAGCATGATGATCGGAAGACGACCCCCGCAATTCTTCACTATCTGCTGGAAATTCGTGACTCCGGTCCTTCTCTTTGTAAGCAGACGATTTCCTGTCACGTGACTTACCAAAACAAAAATACTACGTTCAATACAACGGTCTTCAATACAGCCAACAACGATAAAAATAGTTGTTTTAAAAATCTTTCTTATGGTAATAGTACTGTTTCTGTTGAGGAATGTGTTCATCTTATTTCCCTCTACACAGACCACCCTCGTCTCGGCCTTTGTCAGCTACCAGGCACCAACGTACGATAAATACACATACCCAGTTGGCGCCATTGCAGCGGGTTGGATGATTGGTATGATGTCCGTGGTTCCAATCCCGATCTTCGTCGTCTACAAGTTCTTCAGAGCGTCCGGGCCCTTCATTAAGGTATGTAACTCATCCGTTCACGTGATCGCAAGGGTTCACTCCCTTTATGGCTGTTTCCCAGCTTGACAACTCAGATATGAGGAGGCAGAATATGGTCACTTATGGAATAACGCAAGGAAGCCTATTGGGGCCATTTGTTTTGTGTTTTGTTTTTAATTTTCTTGAAATTTCATGATACTAAGTTGAAATTACAAGATACTAAGTTGAAATTACAAGATACTGATTTGAAATTTCAACTTAGTATCTTGACATTTCAAGAAAAACAAGAAAAAACAAAAAACAAATGGCCCCTAAAGGCTTCCGTAATAATGAGCTAATCCAGTCACCATGTTTAAACATTAAACGAATGTTGCTGGACGGACAAGAATAGTGGCTCTGGTGGTGAATGCATATATTGTGTGTTACCTGACGAGGTGGATGAGGTTCCGACAGGTGGATGTGGATGTAATAAGGGTGGGCTGCTTTGGCGATAGTGTTGGATTGGGTTATGGCGGGTGGATTATGGAGGTGGAGGCAATAAGGTGGGATTGCTTTGAGGATAGTGTTGCATTGGGTTACGGCGGTTGGATTGTAATGGTGGATGTATTAATTGTGTTGTTTGGGGGAAATCGGGTGTGGTCGTGACGGGTGACCCTGTGGATTGTGGTGATGGATGTATTAAGTGTGGGTTGTTAGGGGATAGCGTGGGGTGGAATGGGTTGCGAGCTGAGTCAATAATGGCTCGGATGATGTGGAGATATTGTAGTGTGAGATGGAACTTATGGAATCTAATACCTTACTACAACCCATCCTGATATATCTGTAATTTTATAAAAGCGGCATACACCAATTTCCACTGATAGAATTTCCCGGATTAGGTTGGTTTGGTTGGTTTGTTGTTTAACGCCGCACTCAGTAATATTCCAGCTATATGATGGCGGTCTGTAAATACTCGAGTCTGGACCAGACAATCCAGTGATTAATATCACGAGCATCGATCCACACAATTGGGATACGATGACATGCATCAACCAAGTCAGCAAGCCTGACCACCCGATCCCGTTTGTCGCCTCTTACGACAAGCATAGTCGCCTTTTTACGGCAAGCATGGGTTGCTCAATTCTATCCTGGATCTTCTCTGGTTCCCCGGATTAGGGCACGGGTGGCCCAGTCGTTTTCCTCGCCGCAATTCGCTGTGCCGTGTTCCGTCCCTTGGGCACGCCAGAAACCTATCGCCCCGATAATTTTTCTAGGTTTATCATCACCATACCCTCGTAGGTTTCACTAAAGTGGTTAAAGACCTGCATCACCTTCCTCCCACATGAACCCGACAAGCCGTGAAAGAGCTTGAATACTGTTCAAAGCAGCGTTAGTCCCAACCCATTCATTCACTGGTCTCAACATCTCAATCAACCCACATAGTTCATCTGCTGAACTTCTATTCCAGCGCTTCATCCAAACCAAGAAACCGTCGGCCGACTGGGGTCCCGCTGAGAGCCTTCCCCGTGACTCTGACTTCTCTGAAATAAAGGACCCCCTCAACCGGACAGGGGAACTGTCGGTGTCGTCCCCTAGTGCCACAAGTATCGCCATTGACGACTGTCCCCAAAATGGTGTCACAGTCCACTCCAAGTTCCTCAACGAACAGACGTATATTTCCTGAAAACGATCCTAAACGATGGGTTATAGTGTGTCAGAGAGAACATATCGAAAATTTGGATCTTAGTTTTGACGAGGCTTGTCACTCAATTATGAAACGCTTTGAAAAGTTTGTAAGTGTAGTTTTCAAGCATGCATCGAACCGTATCCTGTTACCACATCAGTTGCCAAAGGAGGTGTTTCTGTACGACCAACTTGTTTTATTAACACACACACACCTTCCAGTCCAACCTCCGTGGTAAAGATATGTTCACCATGGATAATGGTAGCAAAGCTTTACAGGTCAAGTACTGATTTGTATTGGGGCCGACCATTTTATTTTCAAAGAAACCAATGCATGTCTTCATGTTTGCAAAAAACAAAACACAAACAATCATTTAGAAATTATATTTGCGTGTTAATATTAATGGGTTGCCAGATCTGTCTTAACTTATTAACTGCCTCTTTTAAAACATTTTTTTTGGCAATGTATGTGGGTCATTGTGTCAAGCAAATGTAAATTTCTGTGAGTTGATATACATGTATTTTACAGATTAAGTATAATCAGAAGTGAATGTTTGAAAAGATGTATAAGTGAAGACTCGTCACATTCCCTCCGATCTCAAACGCTATGTTAATATTCGCAGCTGCAGTTTTTTAACGGACCCAGATCCTACCAAACCTTATCTTCACTATGCACGAGAACATGTCTCTATATGTTTACACATTGTAGAATTATTGAGATGGCTTAGTAATGTACTGACATGACTAGTCCCGAGCGATAGCCTTATATCTGCATTCTATGCCTGGATCCAGCCCTTGTCGCCATTGCTATTGATTTTAGACCAGACATGCGCACAGGGAGGCTGCTTTGCGTCACCCGCAGGGAATAACTGTACCGCAATGTCACCTTGACCTTGAATAGCTGTGACCTATCTCCCAATGAGTTTGTTTTGTACTGAAGCTTTAATGTCGAAATAGATCAAACTTATTCTAAACACAATTTTTGCTCGCCTAAACTGTGATAAAATATTCTTATTGTTAAGATGATTGAAAAATGCCTTAGAAATATGACCCAAATTTAGAGAAGATTGTAATAGTAAATATAAACAACTGCTTAGAATCACAATTTCATTATTCTTTCATTCAAATGACAATAACATGTTCATTATTGTTCAAATACTATTCATCCATTTGTCTCAACATTAATTTTACGAAATACGTGGTGCCAACGGTATTATATCCATTCTTGCTGATGAACCCGACATTGTCTTCCAATGATGTTCTGTGTCTCAGTAAGTTGTGTGTCCATGGAATATTGATGTACATGTATATACCCTACAACGTCTATAATGACACAATGTTCATCAGCTAAACTCGCCAAATGTTCAATGCCTCCATTTCTCGCCACAGTGTACTTTCAAACAAGACCCCTCATTCACTCAATCAAGAAGACAAGTTTGTCAGCACCATACCCGGGCTTTCCTTCCACATGAAGCTGACCCGTTCAAAAGCTGTACTGTACTAACGATGTGTTTTCAAAATCTGGTAGTGATGTCATCAGCCAGAAGCGCATGAACCGGAAGTGATGTCATTATACGCGAAGTGCACTTTCGCTGCAGTAGGTGTGGGGTATTTTTTATTATTTACAACATGACGTATAGCTGAATAAAATGGATCTTGGCAAGTCAGCTGTCACCTGATTTTGTCTGAATGGTGCTGTTTCTGTGTGTGAAAATGTGTGGCATTCAAGTAAAAGGTCTGATTCAGTTTTTGCGGGTACTGTAGACACCAGTGTACTTACACATCTAAGTCTTAATCCAACTAGACAAACAATGAATTTATATATTCAATCTCTTATTTTTGTTCATCAAGCAGTTTATTAAGACGAGTGTTGTCTGTTTACTGTTTGTGTCCTAGCCTATTGTAGCGGCGATTTGTGACGTACTGCCTTATAAATGAACCTTCAATATTTTGTATAGACTAAGTCAGTAGAGTTCGTTGCAGAGATTATATACATGCGGTATTGAAACAGCGTGGTTCCCGACCCCACTTCCACGGTTGCGATCTTTTTAACTATAGACCGAGATGTTTGCAGTCGCTTAAAAAAATGTCAGTGCATGGATAGTCCTAACCGTCATGTAGAAATCATTAGGGGTCAATGTGAGTTTATATTGTTGGTGAATATATCGTAACTACAGATTGTACGTGTGTGTGTATGTGTGTATTATTTCCAGCTATATATATTGTTAGTCCGTATGAAATAGAATCCCAAGAACAGTCACTTTGGATTTCTGAAAATAATGTTACAAAATCGCTTTATAATGTGACAGAACAAGTAAGTAGTGAAATGATCAGCATAGCTATTTTAAAACTAGATATGTTACGAGACGGTGAATAGTGTTTGTTGTTGTTTTTAATCTCACCCACGTTAACTCATGCAAAACAACATGCATCTTCATCCAGTTAACAACTTACTTGTTTTCTCAGTTCTTGTTGTGGGGGTATAGCCCACGATTCATTTTCTTACATGTGTGAGCAATTCACATACCAGTCACAATGTCAGAGTTGATATGTATATTATTGTCATGATGATGTTTGTAGTTTTATGAATATATTTTTTATGTGTGTATGATGAACGTTCGTACAGATTGTACGTTGAATATTAGTTTTCATTTTGCAATTTTCATTTTAATGTTGTGTCTTTGGATTCGACATGGATGTTAAATGACACAAAGAACGACTTAATCAGTCATAACACCTTTAAGGGATCACGGTACAAAATTATTATTGTGATCATTAACAGTTCTGATATTAGCAATTGTTAAAAAATCAAAAACGTGCAGGATAAATGTAACAAATGGTGAAGTATAGAATTGATAAATAAAATTTATAGTTTTTTATATGTTTTTAGGCATGGTATATGATTTGGCAAGGCTTCCGAAAAAATCTTCAAATAGATTTCGAAATACTGCTGTATTCTCCCCTTCTTGTTGGGTGAAGCGTAGCCATGTAAAACTATACGTTAACCTGAACTTAAGAATATTATGTTCACTGTAAATTATGTTTTAAAGAGTAGGTTGTTGGTTCCACGATTCCTTAGAACACATTTGTTCAAACTGGAGTTTCTGAAATAATCAAATATCGTTATTTGACATGTGTTTAGTTTTCCATTGTGTTAAATAACTGAAACATGACCTGTTTAATATGTTCCAAGAACATCATATTGAGCGGGTTGATGCTTGTTCGTATATCATGTGCACTTGCTTGTCCATATTGAAACAGCTCTGCTTTCGTTTTAAAGGGCATTATACTGTCTCATTCGATTAGAACGACTGGTCAGACATGCCAAAGATTATCTTCTCATCAACGCTTTCGGTATTAACCGTTTGTAATACAAACAACTAGGTATCGTGATAGCATCAATATCATCCAATTCCGCCGTGATGCGACACATGCACATGTTATGATTAATGATGTAAGCATTTTAATTTCGTAAGCCATATTGTCAAATACGAATATGACTATCCTACCAAAGTGAAATAACGTGTGTGTGTTCTATTTTCTAAGTATGGAAGATCAGCTGTGTTTATTCAATTTAAGATATATCAACCATAAAATTTTGATGGCATGACACAAAATCACTATCACTTCACTGAAACGAACAAGAATAAATCGTTTTTCTAGTGCTGAAATATGTGTGTCTTTTCTTTTCAACTGTATTTGGTGACGCGAAAATTGTTCAAGTGCATGGGCCTAGGAGCGGGTAGCAGAACGTCTTGTGTCATATGTCACATTGACCTGTACAGTCTTGGTTGTGTCATATTGTCACATTGAACTGTGAAGTCTTGGCTAGTCGTGTCATATGCAACATTGACCTTACAGTCTTGGTTGTGTCATATTGTCACATTGAACTGTGAAGTCTTGGCTGGTCGTGTCATATGTCACATTGACCTGTACAGTCTTGATTGTGTCTAATGGTACATTGACCTGTACAGTCTTGGTTGTGTCATATGTCACATTGACCTGTGAAGTCTTGGCTAGTCTTGTCATATGTCACATTGACCTGTACAGTCTTGGTTGTGTCATGTGTTACATTGACCTGTACAGTCTTGGTTGTGTCATATGTCACATTGACCTGTACAGTCTTGGTTGTGTCATATGTCACATTGACCTGTGAAGTCATGGTTGTGTCATATGTTACATTGACCTGTACAGTCTTGGTTGTGTCATATGTCACATTGACCTGTGAAGTCTTGGTTGTGTCATATGTCACATTGACCTGTGAAGTCTTGGCTAGTCGTGTCATATGCAACATTGACCTTACAGTCTTGGTTGTGTCATATGTCACTTTGACCTGTGAAGTCTTGGCTAGTCGTGTCATATGGAACATTGACCTTACAGTCTTGGTTGTGTCATATGTTACATTGACGTGTACAGTCTTGGTTGTGTCATATGTTACATTGACCTGTACAGTCTTGGTTGTGTCATATGTCACATTGACGTGTACAGTCTTGGTTGTGTCATATGTTACATTGACGTGTACAGTCTTGGATGTGTCATATGTTACATTGACCTTACAGTCTTTGTTGTGTCATATGTTACATTGACCTTACAGTCTTGGTTGTGTCATATGTTACATTGACCTGTACAGTCTTGGCTGTGTCATATGTCACATTGACGTGTACAGTCTTGGATGTGTCATATGTTACATTGACGTGTACAGTCTTGGTTGACTGTGTCATATGTCACATTGACGTGTGAAGTCTTGGCTGTGTCATATGTTACATTGACGTGTACAGTCTTGGTTGTGTCATGTGTTACATTGACCTTACAGTCTTGGTTGACTGTGTCATATGTCACATTGACGTGTACAGTCTTGGTTGTGTCATATGTTACATTGACCTTACAGTCTTGGATGTGTCATATGTCACATTGACGTGTACAGTCTTGGTTGTGTCATATGTTACATTGACCTGTACAGTCTTGGTTGACTGTGTCATATGTTACATTGACTTGTACAGTCTTGGCTGTGTCATATGTTACATTGACCTGTACAGTCTTGGTTGTGTCATATGTTACATTGACCTGTACAGTCTTGGATGTGTCATATGTTACATTGACGTGTACAGTCTTGGTTGTGTCATATGTTACATTGACCTTACAGTCTTGGATGTGTCATATGTTACATTGACCTGTACAGTCTTGGCTGTGTCATATGTTACATTGACGTGTACAGTCTTGGTTGTGTCATATGTTACATTGACCTTACAGTCTTGGTTGACTGTGTCATATGTCACATTGACGTGTGAAGTCTTGGCTGTGTCATATGTTACATTGACGTGTACAGTCTTGGTTGTGTCATATGTTACATTGACGTGTACAGTCTTGGATGTGTCATATGTTACATTGACCTTACAGTCTTGGATGTGTCATATGTTACATTGACCTGTACAGTCTTGGTTGTGTCATATGTTACATTGACCTGTACAGTCTTGGTTGTGTCATATGTCACATTGACCTGTTCAGTCTTGGTTGTGTCATGTGTTACATTGACCTGTACAGTCTTGGTTGTGTCATATGTCACATTGACCTGTGAAGTCTTGGCTAGTCGTGTCATATGCAACATTGACCTTACAGTCTTGGTTGTGTCATATGTCACATTGACCTGTGAAGTCATGGTTGTGTCATATGTTACATTGACGTGTACAGTCTTGGTTGTGTCATATGTTACATTGACCTTACAGTCTTGGTTGACTGTGTCATATGTCACATTGACGTGTGAAGTCTTGGCTGTGTCATATGTTACATTGACGTGTACAGTCTTGGTTGTGTCATATGTTACATTGACGTGTACAGTCTTGGATGTGTCATATGTTACATTGACCTTACAGTCTTGGATGTGTCATATGTTACATTGACCTGTACAGTCTTGGTTGTGTCATATGTTACATTGACCTGTACAGTCTTGGTTGTGTCATATGTCACATTGACCTGTTCAGTCTTGGTTGTGTCATGTGTTACATTGACCTGTACAGTCTTGGTTGTGTCATATGTCACATTGACCTGTGAAGTCTTGGCTAGTCGTGTCATATGCAACATTGACCTTACAGTCTTGGTTGTGTCATATGTCACATTGACCTGTGAAGTCATGGTTGTGTCATATGTTACATTGACCTGTACAGTCTTGGTTGTGTCATATGTTACATTGACCTGTACAGTCTTGGTTGTGTCATGTGTTACATTGACCTGTACAGTCTTGGTTGTGTCATATGTCACATTGACCTGTGAAGTCTTGGCTAGTCGTGTCATATGCAACATTGACCTTACAGTCTTGGTTGTGTCATATGTCACATTGACCTGTGAAGTCTTGGCTAGTCGTGTCATATGTCACATTGACCTGTACAGTCTTGGATGTGTCATATGTTACATTGACGTGTACAGTCTTGGTTGTGTCATATGTTACATTGACCTGTACAGTCTTGGTTGTGTCATATGTAACATTGACCTGTACAGTCTTGGCTGTGTCATATGTCACATTGACGTGTACAGTCTTGGATGTGTCATATGTTACATTGACGTGTGAAGTCTTGGCTGTGTCATATGTTACATTGACCTGTACAGTCTTGGCTGTGTCATATGTCACATTGACGTGTACAGACTTGGTTGACTGTGTCATATGTCACATTGACATGTGAAGTCTTGGCTGTGTCATATGTTACATTGACGTGTACAGTCTTGGTTGTGTCATATGTTACATTGACCTTACAGTCTTGGTTGACTGTGTCATATGTCACATTGACGTGTGAAGTCTTGGTTGTGTCATATGTTACATTGACCTTACAGTCTTGGATGTGTCATATGTCACATTGACGTGTACAGTCTTGGTTGTGTCATATGTTACATTGACCTGTACAGTCTTGGTTGACTGTGTCATATGTTACATTGACTTGTACAGTCTTGGCTGTGTCATATGTTACATTGACCTGTACAGTCTTGGTTGTGTCATATGTTACATTGACCTGTACAGTCTTGGATGTGTCATATGTTACATTGACGTGTACAGTCTTGGTTGTGTCATATGTTACATTGACCTTACAGTCTTGGATGTGTCATATGTTACATTGACCTGTACAGTCTTGGCTGTGTCATATGTTACATTGACGTGTACAGTCTTGGTTGTGTCATATGTTACATTGACCTTACAGTCTTGGTTGACTGTGTCATATGTCACATTGACGTGTGAAGTCTTGGCTGTGTCATATGTTACATTGACGTGTACAGTCTTGGTTGTGTCATATGTTACATTGACGTGTACAGTCTTGGATGTGTCATATGTTACATTGACCTTACAGTCTTGGATGTGTCATATGTTACATTGACGTGTACAGTCTTGGTTGTGTCATATGTTACATTGACCTTACAGTCTTGGATGTGTCATATGTTACATTGACGTGTACAGTCTTGGTTGTGTCATATGTTACATTGACGTGTACAGTCTTGGTTGTGTCATATGTTACATTGACGTGTACAGTCTTGGTTGTGTCATATGTTACATTGACGTGTGAAGTCTTGGTTGTGTCATATGTTACATTGACGTGTACAGTCTTGGTTGTGTCATATGTTACATTGACCTTACAGTCTTGGTTGACTGTGTCATATGTCACATTGACGTGTGAAGTCTTGGCTGTGTCATATGTTACATTGACGTGTACAGTCTTGGTTGTGTCATATGTTACATTGACCTTACAGTCTTGGTTGACTGTGTCATATGTCACATTGACGTGTGAAGTCTTGGCTGTGTCATATGTTACATTGACCTGTACAGTCTTGGCTGTGTCATATGTTACATTGACGTGTACAGACTTGGTTGTGTCATATGTTACATTGACGTGTACAGTCTTGGCTAGTCTTGTCATATGTCACATTGACCTGTACAGTCTTGGCTGTGTCATATGTTACATTGACGTGTACAGACTTGGTTGTGTCATATGTTACATTGACGTGTACAGTCTTGGCTGTGTCATATGTTACATTGACCTTACAGTCTTAGTTGTGTCATATGTTACATTGACCTTACAGTCTTGGTTGACTGTGTCATATGTCACATTGACGTGTGAAGTCTTGGCTGTGTCATATGTTACATTGACCTGTACAGTCTTGGCTGTGTCATATATTACATTGACCTGTACAGTCTTGGTTGTGTCATATGTTACATTGACGTGTGCAGACTTGGTTGTGTCATATGTTACATTGACGTGTACAGACTTGGTTGTGTCATATGTTACATTGACCTTACAGTCTTGGTTGTGTCATATGTCACATTGACGTGTACAGTCTTGGATGTGTCATATGTTACATTGACGTGTACAGTCTTGGTTGTGTCATATGTTACATTGACGTGTACAGACTTGGTTGTGTCATATGTTACATTGACGTGTACAGACTTGGTTGTGTCATATGTCACATTGACCTTACAGTCTTGGTTGACTGTGTCATATGTTACATTGACCCGTACAGTCTTGGTTGACTGTGTCATATGTCACATTGACGTGTGAAGTCTTGATTGTGCCACATGTCACATTGACCTGTGCAGTCTTGGTTGTGTCATGTGTTACATTGACCTGTACAGTCTTGGTTGGTCGTGTCATTTGTCATAGTGGCGTGAAGGTCTTGGTTGTGCTACATGTCACATTGACCTGTGTAGTCTTGGTTGTGTCATATGTTACAGTGAACTGTAATCTTACTTAACACGTCACTTGTCACATTAACCAGTGAACACTTGCTTGGTAGTGCCATATGTCACATTAACCTATTGAGTCTTAGCTGGTTGTATCACATGCCAAAGTGACCTGTGAAATCTTAGTTGGTCGTGTCATGTCACATTGACCTGAAGAGTCTAAGCTGGTAGTATCACATGCCAAAATGACCTGTGAAATCTTAGTTGGTCGTGGCATGTCACATTGACCTATAGAGTCTTAGCCGGTAGTATCACATGCCAAAATGACCTGTGAAATCTTAGTTGGTCTTGTCATGTCACATTGACCTGTAAAATTTGTAGTCAACGTGGTGCCAGAAAAAAAACTCGTCCCCTGCAATTGTCTACGATGTACGTGGGATTTCATCCCCGACACTCTTCCTAATCCACAGCGTTGTTTGACCGGACAGATTACATGACACTATAACCGAAGGGAGTCATACATAGTACGACTAAGGGACCCACATTTTTGTGAGTGAGCGAGTGAGTATGGTTTTACGCCGCTTTTATCAATATCAATATCACGGCGGGGACACCAGAAATGGGCTGCACACAATGTACCCATGTGCGGAATCGAAACCGCGACTTCGACATGACAAGCGAACCCTTGAACCACTACGCCCCAAAGCTCCTTTTATTAGGTATTCTATAGTTTACAGGATATTAACGTTTCGGCCACTCTTTCAGTAAATATTAGTGACTAAACCGTTTTTGCTAAAAACAAAACACGCATTTGAACAAAAAGATTTTTATTTTTTTTAAATTTTAAATTATTTCTTGGGGTGTAAATCCTGGGGACAAATGATTGGAAATTTGAAATTATAAGTTCTGGAATCCCCTGCTCCTTCCTGAATATGAAAAGGTCGGCCTCTTTCTTAAAAAACACTTTCAGCAGCATACAATGCCGAGAGCATGCTTATTGATTCTTGCGTTAATTATGAGATATAGAAAAGCACCAAATTGAAAGCTCTCTGTAACTGAAACTTGAAATGCGTCCTCTTTGTTGATTTACATCGTGTTAACTAACCGCATTGTATTGAGACCTGTGATGAACTAGGGTAGAATAGGTCTTCAGTAACCCATGCTTGCCGTAAAAGGGGACTAACGGGATCGGGTGGTCAGGCTCGCTGACTTGGTTCATGCATGTCATCGTTTCCCAAATGCGTGGATTGATGATCATGATGTTAATCACTGGATTCTCTTGTCCAGACTCGATTATTTACAGACCGCCGTCATATAGCTGGAATATTGCTGAGTGCGGCGTTAAACAACGAACATTGTATTGACACACATACTCTGAATGTTGTAGTAAACACAACTGCATTTTGTAACCTACAAATTCACATATCCTTAACCGTTTACCCGTTTACTCGTTTAACACTTAAAGAATGAACCTATGAGGAACGGGAATATGATTCGAGATACCACGGATCATAATCTGGGCGAATCCGGGATCCGAACGAACTGCCAGCGGATCCTGTCACGGCTGAGGATCTCAGCGTAGCGCAACGAACTGGAGCCCCTGAGATCAGATGATATTCTATTCCCTTGAATTTCAAGTAACTTTAACATGAGTGGGTGAGTGACTGTGGTTTAACGCCGCTTTTAACATTATTCCAGTTATATCACGGCGTGTCAGCTTAATGTGGGAGGAAAGCCCGAAGTGATGCAGGTCTGAGACGTTTACCACTTCGGTGAAACCCACGAGCACGGGTATGGTGCTGACAAATCGAGAAACATAATCGGGGCGAACCGGGATTCGAACCAACAATCATACTTTTAGGTTTCTGGCGTGTCCAAGGGACGCAACTCTGCACAGCGAATCGCGGCGGCTTAGACGACTGGACCACCCGTGCCCCCAACAGTAACATGAGGTGTGAGAGGTTTGTCAAAATCATACAAGTTCACCATATCTTAGGACACAACAGAAGCAAGTTCAATTTGGCCAAAGTAACACGCTTAAAGAAGTGATTCAGTGGTGTAGTCGTAAGATTTTGTCTCTTGGTCGCCAGAGTCTGTTCCGTTGTCGCCAACTGTTGTGTCGAGGACGTGAGATGCAATCAAGTAGTCGTCAGATGCAGTATCGTAGTCGCTGGATACAGTCGGGTCGTCGTCTGACCCTTTGGCGTGGACGTCAGATGCAGTATCGTAGTCGCTAGATACAGTCGGGCCGTCGTCTGAAACAGCGGCGTGGACGTAAGATGCAGTATCGTAGTCGCTGGATACAGTGGGGTCGTCGTGTGACACAGTGGCGTGGACGTCAGATGCAGTATCGTCGTCACTGGATACAGTGGGGTCGTCGTCTGACACAGTGGCGTGGACGTCAGATGCAGTGTCGTAGTCGATGGATATAATAGAGACGTCGTCTGGCACAGTGGCGTGGACGTCAGATGCAATATCGTTGTCGCTGGATACAGTGGGTTCGTCGTCTGACACAGTGGCGTGGACGTCAGATGCAGTATCGTAGTCGCTGGAAACAGTGGGGTCGTCGTCTGGAACAGTAGCGTGGACGTCAGATGCAATATCGTTGTCGCTGGATACAGTGGGGTCGTCGTCTGACAGTGGCGAGGACGTCAGATGCAGTATCGTAGTCGCTGGATACAGTGGGGTCGTCGTCTGGCACAGTGGCGTGGTCGTCAGATGCAGTATCGTAGTCGCTGGATACATTGGGGTCGTCGTCTGGAACAGTGGCGTGGACGTCAGATGCAATATCGTTGTCGCTGGATACAGTGGGGTCGTCGTCTGACAGTGGCGAGGACGTCAGATGCAGTATCGAAGTCGCTGGATACAGTGGGGTCGTCGTCTGGCACAGTGGCGTGGACGTCAGATGCAATATCGTAGTCGCTGGATACATTGGGGTCGTCGTCTGACACAGTGCCGTGGACGTCAGATGCAGTATCGTAGTCGCTGGATACAGTGAGGTCGTCGTCTAACACAGTGGTATGGACGTCAGATGTAGTGTCGTAGTCGCTGGACTCGGTGGGGTCGTCGTCTGACACAGTGGCGTGGACGTCAGATGAAGTGGCGATGTCATCAGATGCAGTGAAGTTGTTGTCAGGTAAAGTGGCGCAGTCATAAGATAGGACATCAGATGAATTGGCGTCGTTGTCAGATGAAGTTGCTAGCAGTCATCACATGAGTGAAGTAGATGTCAGATGCAAAGAATTAGTCGAAAGATGCAGTATCGATGTCGTTAGATGAAATGATACAGTTGGCGTAGACGTCAGATGCAGAGAAGTAGTTGTCAGATATAGTAGAGCTGCCATCATCACCATCACCATCACCACCACCACCCACGTGGCACCACACTTGCACATCACACACATCTAACACGAACGCTCATCTAGTCTCGGCAATAATATATACAACCGTATATTAGAACGTATCCCATGTTCACATCGTAGGTTTAATTACGCGCACTCCTACACGAAGTTGTAAGTTTCAAGTAAATCGATAATCTTATTACTGGTTGTATGGACTCCAGCATCGCTGCTGCCTCCTTGCCTCAACGTGCCAAGACATATCAGCTTTAACGCTGAACATCAGCCAACAAATGAGCTCTGTAAAGCGTCAGAATATTGATTCTCGAAAGCTGTATCTCATCGGTTCAAGTTTTGTGCGAACGTCGTCTTTCATTTTGCGTGGGAGGGTGAAATTCCCTTGAGGTCGACCTGATTCCTGGAGAAAATGTAGATCACGGATTTAGCAGTTACTCAGCTCAATCTATCATAGATAGGGGCGGTCGGGTAGCCTAAGCTTAAAACGTGCACTCGTCACGCCGAAGACCCGGGTTCGATTCCCGACATGGGTACAATGTTGGAAGCCAATTTCTGGTGTCCCCCGTCGTGATATTGCTGGAATATTGCTAAAAGCGGCGTAAAACAACACTCACTCACTATCATAGTTACCCCACGTTCGAACACTTATTATCAACACAGAGCGAAAGTCCTAGTGATAAGGTATCAGCAACCTCGTTTCTCATAGAACCTCGACCTTCTTATCGACCCTTTGGCTTGGTCGAGGTCACGACACCTATCACCACTCTTTACGCGTCCCCGTTTACAGGCATATATGAAATGTGGGTGTGATTGTGTGTGAGTGTTTGCGCGGTGTGTCAGGATGCTGCATCTTGTCGTTCTCTGTGTGTGTCTTCTTCATCTGTCGGGCTCCGCTCCCGTCGTTGATACCAAATTTGGTAAACTAGAGGGAGTCGAGACGAGCACCAACTACGCTTACTACGGGGTCCCCTACGCCCAGCCTCCAGTCGGCGCACTCAGGTTTGACAACAATCAAACATTTGCTTCCAGTTTCAGACAATAACAAAATTGCGACAATAACAGTACAACAACAATTAATAGACTAATTTTTGGCTTACACGCGCATATTGTAGTCCGAGATATGAGCCAGATGTTTTGTATTCAAAGTGCACCAGGCCTTTCCCAAACGATGAGAGCCTCATCCTCATTTCAACAAACATTTGCATACAAAGACATACAAACAAGCGGCTGGTATTGAGCAGCATTACACGCAGTGGGGGTACGACAACCAGATCCCACCCTTTAAGATCCGGGTCTTGGCGAACACATACTTGTAAAAGGCGACTAACGGGATAGGGTGGTCAAGCTCGCTGACCTGTTTGAAATATATCATCATACCCCAATTGTATAGATCGGTGTTCATGATGTCAATCACTGGATTGTCTGGTCTAGACTTGTATTATTAACAGACCGCCGTCATATAGCCGGAATATTGCTGAGTGCGGCGTTAAGCAACAAACAAACAAAATTTCGTCTCCTCTTCCGAACCGCAAAAGAGTGAAGTTGTCCTATTCGTAAGCGGGTCGCCGCTGGATGCAGAGTATATTTAGTGTGCTCAAGCGCCAAGAATAAAACACCGATCTATTTCCTTAAATGTTGTATTCCCTTAAATTTGGGTTGGACTCACACATTTGCCAATAATAATCGGTGTGTACACCCCCGAATTCCCTGCTCCCTAAGTCTCCACTCATCCACGACCGTCCTCCTACAGGTGGACGCCCCCGAGGGACCCAGCACAATGGTCTTCTGTATACAGTGCTACGAACATAAAACCTGGATGTCCCCAATACAAATGCGAGAACTTCAATCCACCGCTAGTGTGCCCGACGCATGTAAGTACCGGGAGCATTTAGAAATGATTTAAAATTAAGTTTATATACCCTGGTAACATCTTCCCGAGGCATGAGAGTTAACTGACTTTAAAAAGCCAGTTTCCACCCTTGCCTATCTACTAGGTTGGAATTCCTGGGCTCGATCGTAGCGCCACCAGTGGCTATTACGAGTTATGTCCCATCTAAGCCTCTCCTATGGACCAATCAGATTCCACCTTTTGTATGACTTGCATTTGCTTCAAAAAAAATGGCGGGACCCATTCAAGACCATCTGATCGATAATCAAGATCTATATTGTGATAAAACTGGTCTTACATCGCGAAGTGCATAAAATCGCGTCAGCACCTTGATTAAAACATGGAAAGATTTGGAAAATATCTGTTGACAACGAGTTGGCGGTGCACATGCTTTGCAAATCCTGCAATCGACCGAAATCTGTACGAGAGTTTACCGGATTTCGATTTCGTTGCGCGATTTTGATTGGACTATGCATAGACTCCATAATACCAGCCTAGTTCAGCAAGGGTGGAAACTGGACTTTTATAGTCCGTTAGCTCCCTTGCCTTGGGAAGATGCCCTGTTAATTGCGAGTGACTGAATATAATTTTGATAGAAATTTCAGTGTAAAGTATGATTTTCCCCTCTGGTTGTGTTCTCCTGCATCAGGTCCACCTGACACCAGCAGCTTATCAAGTCAACCGTATATATACTCACCGACAAAAGAAACGCGAATACCATACATGTCCGTTAATATATAAAGAATTACTCATATTCAAGAAATATTAGAGTGGTGTGTGTCATTAAGTAGTACACATTGGAAACAGGTACATACCTCTCTAAATGTTTCTGCGGTTCGCGTTTCTCTTGGCGGTGAGTATACATATTATAGCCTGACAATATATCCACGTATAGATACAGTCAAAGAAGCATACACTACACACATATACTTCCTTACGACCCACAGGACCAGGCTCACATCTAGATCCAGTTCAAAATAGGTCATGTAGCTCACCTACATGGACACAAATTGGGTCCTGTTGATTCTGTTCCATGTTTTAGGTGTCTGAAGACTGCCTGTACCTGAACATTTGGGCCCCTCTCGGCACCAACATCACCTCTTCCCTCGCCGTCATGGTCTACATTCACGGCGGCAACTTCGTCCACATGAGTGGCGGTGGCCTGTTGTACGACGGCAGTGTTCTCAGTCAGAAGGGAAACGTCATTGTCGTCAACGTGGACTACAGGCTAGGTGATGCTTTGATTTTTGAGTGAGTGAGTGAGTAAGGAGGGGCTTTACAACACTTTAATTTGTATTCCAGTTTTCTCAGGTCGCGGGACACCAATTATTATCTTCGCACATGTGTGAGATTGAACTAGGTGTGACGTGTGAGTAAGTATGGTTTTACGCCGAATATGGCAATATTCCATCAAAATCACGGCGGGGGGCACCAGAAATGGGCTTCAAACGCTGTACCCTTGTCGGGAATCGAACCCGGGTCTTCGACGTGACGAGCAAACGCTTTAACCGCAAGGCTACTTGACCACCTGATGTAAGATAGGCTTTATTTAAGACACATTTCCCCGGAATAATATGACAATGCTTCTAATTGCAGGTGCTCTTGGTTTCTTGGTAACTGGAACTGAGGATGGAGATGCTGTCGGGAACTACGGGATCCTGGATCAGAGACTGGCCCTGAAGTGGGTCAGCGAGAACATCAAGGCGTTTGGAGGTGACTCAAGCAGAGTGAGCACTGACGACATGTACTCATTAACCATTCTGTGCGCCTTCATATCAGCTAAGGGGCGGTCGGGTAGCCTAGTGGTTAAAGCGTTCGCTCGTCGCGCCGAAGACCCGGGTTCGATTCCCGACATGGGCACAATGTGTGAAGCCCATTTCTGGTGTCCCCCGCCGTGATATTGCTGGAATATTGCTAAAAGCGGCGTAAAACCATACTCACTCACTCACTCACTCCTATCAGCTAAGACTTAGTTCGAGTCTTTGTTAATAGGCTCATATGACTGATATGCGAGTTTGAGAAGCTGTACGAACTAATTCAATAATGAACCAAACGAAAAGAAGCATCTCGTGGAATTTGACGTTGTGATGGCCCAGTAATACATAGCAGTGGAGAGCACCCTATGCTTGTCGTAAGAGGCAACTCAATGGATTGGGTGACTCGGTGACTCTTATGATAGCATTTCATCGTACTTCTACTGCATGGGACGTTGCCCAAGACATCAATTAGTAATTTGCGTGGGTCCAGACTCGGTTATGTACAACACTCTGCCATGTAGCTGTAAATATTTCTGACTAGAGCGTTAAAGGGGAAGTGTACACGCAAAAATCACTTTCTTTCTTTTTCTAAACAAAACGCAATTTTAGAATTAATTAGTATCTGTGTTTGAAAATATACACTCATTTTTTTCACAGTGAACGTAGGAAGCTCACAATAGTGTGAAAATGATATGCCGTTATGAGGCCTTCGTTTTTCGAGCTAAACAGGCCTGAGTTATCCCCCTTAGATTATGACGTAATTGGTGCCAATTCAACTGGGTCCCTGTCTATTCTCAACGCAAAAGATATCAAGTACCAGTTTGCGGTAAAACAACATGGCCTACGACACACTCCGGCGCAGTGGTGACTCAGCATAACACTATGCTGGCTGGCATCTGAGACGCTAGAATCACACACCTGGACCTACACCACGTGAAGCGGCTCTAACAAAGCATGATGACGTCATAATGTTTATCAATTGGCACCAATGACGTCAAATTGCAAGGGGCATAAGCCATGGTGTTTTTGTTGTGGAAATAGAACACTTGGTAAATGTGAAAAATATAAATCGTTTTAATGCGAAAAATATGTTAATTAATTGTGATATTTTTTATATTTTTGTCTATGACACTTCTATGTTAACACTTTTAACGTGGAAAAAGTACAAGAAAAATAGGTTCATTTCCGTGTGAACTTGCCCTTTAAACAATAATCAAACAAGACATGAAGAAGACGTCTCTAATAAGACAACGTCTGTATTTCACAGGTGACCTTGTTCGGCCAAAGTGCTGGAGCTCAGTCAGCTGTGATCCATCTGGCCTCAGAAGAAAGCAGCGCCTTGTTCCGCAACGCTATCATTGAGAGTTCCCCATTCTCCATCCCGTACAAAACCCACGCCGAGGCACTGATCCTAGGAGCCCATCTTGCCAGCCCGTTAAACTGTACAGCCAGAGACATCAATTGCCTCAGACAGAAGAACTCGGTGGATATAGCTCAGGCTCAGTTCATCAGCAGAAGTAAGCTCTCTTCACTGAGATACCTCGAGGAGTTCGAACCCTGGGGCCCCTGGGTGGACGGGGTCACTGTCAAGGCAGAACCCGTCACAGCCATGGACAAGGGACTGTTTCAGAAGAAACCTGTCATGATTGGCACGACGTCCGAGGAGACCCGTCTGTACATCTACAGCGCGTGGGATAAGCCCATAGATACTGTTATCTACACTGCCGCTATTCTTGCCACTCATCCTAACCATGGTGTAGATATCATGTACGAATACCCACCAGATGAACCTCAGGATCAGAGGAACAATTTGGCCGTTGTTGCTACCGATTTCATCTTCGGTTGTGCCTCCCGCCACGTGACAAGGAAGATGCTGGAATACGGCGTGCGCGACGTATGGCTCTACGTCTACGACCACGCGTTCTCCTTCCCTGGCTGGGGGAACATGACCTTCTGTCAAGGTCACGTTTGCCATGGGTCGGAAGTTCCGTTCGTGTTCCAGTCGGCTGGTCGGGGAGGGTTCAAATACACACCCGACGAATTGGCCCTTAGTGATCTGGTCATCAGCTACTGGTCAAACTTTGCCAAGACAGGGGACCCACAGGGATTGCCCGGCTCTAGAGACAAGGTCAAGGCCGTCCCGGCTTGGCCTCGTTATGATGCAGAGATCCAGCAGCTGCACTGGCCCTATCAACATTTCCAGACACCGAAGTCGTTCGTAGATCCGAACTATAACGGTCCTTACTGTGACTTCTGGGACGAAGTTGGATATGATAATTAATGTATTGTGATTTGAATTCCATGGGAACAATATTTATCATAAGAGTTACTTGTGTATGATAAAACCCTATGCGTTTTAATGGCAATTATGTATTCCCCTTAAGCATTTAAGCTCATATTTTCAAATACTTGCATGAATTCTTATACAATTTCTACGACACATGTATACTTACAGTTAATATCTTTTTTATTTCCAATGCATGATAATTAATATGTTTAGTTATAGGGCGGGTCAAAACTATTACAACTGGAACTGCGTAGCTTTCAGATATGTGTTGCATAAGAGCCGCTGTTGACGAGCTAATCCTCACATAAACAATTAAAACATATAATTTCAGTGTTTTTTGTAATCTTCAGTAGTGGTAACAGTACCTCTATAGGATAGTGAAAACGGTTAGAAATTTGATTCTATTAAGGTCTCCTGCCATCGATCTTTAACGTTCATGTTTTTGTTTGTTTGTTGTTGCAGTAGTATACGTTTTGTTAGTCGTAAAAGACTCGTAATATAAGCTTATTTCAGTATTAACTAAATAACAATAAACATTGCAATTATAGTTCTTGCAATGTCGTCCCTCCAGCGTTCATGATTTGAAATTCTCCTATTCTTGATGTTAAATAATTCTTCTGATCCTTTTGGTATATATAGTCCGGCAACTACGTAAAATACACGTGGGAATTGTGCCTTTGATGATAGTAGTACGAGCTTTGGCGCACTGTCAGAGCATGCCCTTGAGAAGAATTTTAGCTGTAGCGCCATCGCAGATTTTTCCTTTGGTAACAATGGCGGTCGTTTTCCTAATGTACGAATTTTTAACACCTACTCAATGCCCAGACCACCTTGGATTTGATGAAAATAGTCGTAATAGTCACGCATGGCAAACAGCTGTATGCAGTATACAAAAAATGTGCCTCAAACCATACAGATAAAGATTTAGAAATCTTGTAAATGATTTCAAGTTGAACATGTTATCCAAATACACAAATGTCGTGCCATGAGGGGCGGTCGGGTAGCCTAGTGGTTAAAGCGTTCGCTCGTCACGACGAAGACCCGGGTTCGATTCCCGACATGGGTACAATGTGTAAAGCCCATTTCTGGTGTCCCCCGCCGTGATATTGCTGGAATATTGCTAAAAGCGGCGTAAAACCTCACTCACTCACGCACGCACGCACGCACGCACGCACGCACGCTCGCTCGCTCGATCGCTCACTCACGCACGCACGCTCGCTCGCTCGCTCGCTCGCTCGCTCCCTCACTCACTCACTCACTCACTCACTCACTCACTCACTCACTCACTCACTCACTCACTCACTCGTGCCATGATCGATATTGACAGATTGGTGGAGTTGAACATGCATTAGATAAATGTCTTCAAAGCACTGAAGTTACATGTATTCTTGTAGCACAAAAATGAGATCGTTTTATAGAGCCAAGTAGTCGAGGAATTTATGCTCTCATTTATTATGTTTCAACAATGAATCCTTCTCCCAAACATGGTCTGCCAGCGAGAATAAATTACCCATCATAAAAGAAGTTATGAAGTCTCCAAAAATTGAAGTTTAACTTCAGTTTAAAAGGCATTGTGACATTGTATCCAAGTGATGCCCCGCTTCATCTGACCCCAGTGACTGGTCAGTTAACAATGACAATTTGAACCAAATAAACTAAATGAGGTCACTCTGTAATGTAATGACGTCATATAACAATAGGTTACTCAGATCTCAGCGGGAGACAAGTAAACGGCTTGTATCTTCAAATTAATGTGTTTAGAGTAAGTGAGTGAGTTGGGTTTAACGCCGCTTTTAATAGTATTCCAGTTATATCATGGCGTGTCAGCTTAATGTGGGAGGAAAGCCCGAAGTGATGCAGGTCTCCGACGTTTACCACTTCGATGAAACCCGGGACCACGGGTATGGTGCTGACAAACCTAGAAACATAATTGGGGCGAATCGGGATTCGTACCCACAATCATAGGTTTCTGGCGTGTCCAAGGAACGCAACTCTGCACAGCGAATCGCGGCTCCTCAGACGACTGTGGCCCCTAATGTGTTTAGAATGAGAGAGGGTTATAAATAGGGATTTATGATTAGGGAACATGTCAGTCACTAATAAACAATAATTTTACTCGTAGCATACTTCCCGCAGTCGCATGTATTTCGTTAATTCATCCACCACAATCCGGGCCACAGTCAAATGTGTGTGACACCCCCCCCCCCCCCCCCCCCCCCCCCCCCCCCCCTCTCTCTCACCCACCCACCCCCACCCCCATCACCCTCACCCTCACCCCTCACCCCCATTCTTCTGGTCGTTTACACCTGAATGTGAGCTGAAACTACCACGAAAGTATGTTACCTGCACGGTCGGTCGCATGGGCGTGCACAGCTAACTGCATCATGCCAGTCAAGGTCAGCCGAAAGCATACACATTTACTTGCAGATCAGGTGCTGTTGCTAGATGTGTGCAAGTCCCGCGAACTGTGCTGTCAACATGAATTATCACTGTGTCATCATTCCGATGTTCAGCCTGATGTATGTGCAACGAAACAGATGTAGACACATTAACATATGATGTCTGCACACATATCAATGGCCGACTCCGTAATTCACAAAAAAATGTGTAAAACTTCACGAATATTTATTTCCCCAAATGCAAGATATATGTTGTTGTGTAGTTGCTGGAGTGTTGTACCACTGCATTGCTCATCCGCGACAATGTAGGATGAGCCGCAGGCCTTAAGGTCCTTTGAGCTACTGGTAAAATAACAACCGTTGGCGGCCATTTTGGAAAATTGTTGCCAGAGGACAAACCTGCGATGGTCCTAAAGCTAAACTTCTTCCTAAGGGCATGCTCTGAAAGTGTACTAAAGCTCGTGCTTGTATCACCAAAGGCACAATTCGCCCATACATTTTAGGAAGATGACGGATTATAATAGTGAACTTGCCGCTTCTTAGACATAATTTTGTCTCTGCACATTCGCTTTCCAGTCGTTTACAGTCAGTGTCACGGCACTGAACACAACTAACTAGTGATGTAGGAAATTATTGGTGATTCAAATAAATAAATAAATAAATAAATAAATAAATAAATAAATAAATAAATAAATAAATAAATAAATAAATAAATAAATAAATAAATAAATAAATAAATAAATAAATAAATAAATAAATAAATAAATAAATAAATAAATAAATAAATAAATAAATAAATAAATAAATAAATAAATAAATAAATAAACTTTTATTCTTATTATTATTAAAATGTTGAGGAAGTATTGTACATGTGGTAGACTTGTTCTCACCACTAACACATTAAAAAACACTGGAATATGCAATACCGAAGATACAACATGGTCTAGTTAACTATGTGCTCACATAAACTAACTACCAAGTGTTATGAATGAACAATAAAAACGTACTGCGTTGTTTTCTCACATGTCACAATCCTAAAACGTGTATATATTTTGATGATTTCACTACAATGTAATTACTTGAATGCTAGTAATAAGTTGTTATGTAGTTGCTAGTTTGTGTGAATAGTACCACTGCATTCCTCATCCTTGAAAATGTCGGGTGAGCCACAGGAATGAAGGTGGTCTAGAACATGAGTACCTGTACAATAACAAGCACATTTTGGAAAGTGACCGCCGTTGTTGCCATAGCAAAAATCTGCGATGGCCCTTCGATGAATATTATTGCATAATGCATTTCTTTAGTGATGTCCATGCATAGTTGAAGCCGTGTGTTACAGCTAAACGACTATAGTGAATGGTGTTTACCTGACCGCACGCATGTATGTTGATACAAACTTACAAATTACAAAACTGATACAAAATAAAAAGCGCAGCAAAGAGGGTTTGGGTAATCCTGGCACAGTCAGGCTGGTTAGGTTCATCATCAGTTCAGGGCCCTTGCCCCCTCTACACGCAGCCCAGACATCCGATGGGAACTCTCCCAGGTAGCGCTGCCATGTCGTACCCACGCAGAACTTTTCGGAGAATGTGAAGACCCCCCAACACTGCAGCCATCTGAAAGGCTGTATTCCGGGTAGCAAACCCGGGCACTCACCCAATGTCAGTCAGCAGATTGGGAGGTACCAAACCTAAGGTACCGAGAACAATGGGGAGTCGGACAACTTGGTACCAGAGATGCAAGCGTGACATTTCAAAAGGCGATGTCTGCATATTTGCCATGTTTTTCTTCAATCTTGTCAATCACATTAGTGTCAAAAGGGACTGAAAATTTAATAATATAAATGATTTCATTGGATTTATGAAAAAGGACAAGATCAGGTTTGTTGGCGGGGATACGTCTGAGTCTGCAAACGGGCCTATGCCTATGAATTTTGTATATCATTTTCCATGATGCCCTCTACATATTCTGAATTGTACCATGAATGGGCCTCTGTGTCAAAACCACAAGAATGGCGAAGACGGTAATAAAATGATCGAGACACTCCCTCATGTCGCTTAAGATACTGTGTTTGTGCCAAAGCGGGGCATCCACTGGCAATGCGTTGAATAGTCTCATTAAATTCATTGCATAATCTACATTTCATATTTACATTTTGATGCAAAATCACACATTGACGGTTTCGAGTGGGAGGTGACTGGTCCTGAGCAGCAAACAGAAAGTCTTCTTTTTCACTTTTCAGGTCAGGCGATTTCAACCAAGCGAAGGAGTGACTCTGCAGGGTTGCTGATCATATAAACTCGATGCAGTGGTCGTTCAGATAGCCTCTCCTTGAACAGCTGAGTCTGGTTAATATGGCACTTCGCTTGGTTGGCACTCCTTTCTGTGCCATCCACGCAGTACAGATCCATCAACAAAATCAAAACTGACATTTACATTATGTCCCACATCCTTGGCTCGTTTTAGAAAACTGTGTAATGCCTTGTTTTCATCATGAGTCTTGACAAGCTTCACAAGAGGATCATCAGACAAATAAATGTGTGCAAAAGGTGAGGGTCTATTTTCTGACATGATTCTTCATGTGAGGGTGTCGTTACCGTGAACTTCTTGTTTCGTCCAATCAACAACACCAAAAGATTATGAAAGAACGGGTACAGCATAATTGTATTTGTGGCTCCCACTTTATGCGAGCGTTCTGCTTTGAACTATTTACAAGAGGAAACGCAGAATTGGATTAGGTTTAGTGTCTGGCAATCCATGTTTCTATCCCCTGTTTTTCTCAGGTGACGACAGCCCGATAAGAGTTACTTCCCTTGGATCGTATTTCCCAAATCCATTTGCAAGTAGGGCGGTTTCTGATATTCTGTGAACCAGTCGTTACCAGTGACATATCCAGATTAAAGAAACATATATATCTGCGTCCCTTCAATTATATTTTAACCATAATAATCAGTTGTCCTTTTCCAGACTTTCACTGAATTGTTGGCAAACACTACATTCTCTACATAAACTACATTATCCCTGCCTTCTTCTCTACATACACTCTACTCTACATACACTCTACTCTACATACACTCTACTCTATATACACTCTACATACACTCTACTCTACATACACTCTGCTCTACATACAGTCTACTCAATATACACTCTACTATACATACAATCTGCTCTACATACACTCTACTCTTCATACACTCTACTCTACATAAACTCTACTCTACATACACTCTACTCTACATACGCTCTACACTACATACACTCTACTCTACATACACTCTACTCTACAAACACTCTACTCTACATACACTCTGCTCTACATACACTCTACTCTACATACACTCTCCTCTACATACGCTCTGCTCTACAAACACTCTACTCTACATACACTCTACTCTACATACACTCTACATACACTCTACTCTACATACACTCTGCTCTACATACACTCTACTCTATATACACTTTACTCCACATACACTCTACTCTACAAACACTCTACTCTACGTACTCTCTACTCTACATACACTCTGCTCTACATACACCATACTCTACATCGAACTCTTCTACATGTTTTAGTGAACGCTGAATATTTCACAATCGAGATTGCAGTTCACAACACAGGCGACGGAATGCATGTATTTACACGTGTGAGTTACTCAGGACCATCAACATGGAAATGAAATCAATCAGTGGTTGATTAAAATGCTTGAGTTCATTCCAGGGAACTGTACGCTTGCCCCGGAACATGTATTTCATAACTGTAGTAGTCTGCGAGCAATATGCACGTGCGGAAGGCTCAGAGCTTCACGTGCATGATATTGCATCACGTAGCGGCAACTGCCATGGAGTTGAGTGAGTGAGTGAGTATGGTTTTACGCCGCTTTTAGCAATATTCCAGCAATATCACGGCGGGGGACACCAGAAATGGGCTTCGCACATTGTACCCTTGTCGGGATCGAACCCGGGTCTTCGGCGTGACGAGCGAACGCTTTAACCACTAGGCTACCCGACCGCCCTTCCATGGAGTTGAAACTATGTTCAAATGTGGTTACTTGGTAATATTAGTCATGGGTTAAGTGGCGTCTAATCGTTGGAACTGCTTGTTTTAGTCATCCGACACACACACATTGCAAATATATACGAATACGAAAATACCTAAAATAGTGACAATATCAAAACTTCAATTTATTTTACACTAAACATGCGTACATGTCAGTTGTTATATCCAACTTTATCCCAGAAGTCACAGAAGGGTGCGTTGTAATATGTATCAACGAAAGAAGATGGTGTTTTGAAGTGCTGATAGGGCCACTGGTTCTCTGAATGATACTGAGGCCAGTCCGGGACGGCCTTGACCTTGGCCCCAGTGTCAGACACACCTTGGGGGTTACCGGTCTTGGCAAAGTTTGACCAGTAACTGATAACCAAATCACTAAGAACCAATTCTTCGGGGGTGTACTTAAACCCCCCAATGCCAGCCGACTGGAATACAAACGGAACTTCCGACCCATGGCAGACATAACCTTGACAGAAGGTCAGATTGCCCCAGCCAGGGAAGGAGAACGCGTGGTCGTAAATGTACAGCCATACGTCAGCAATGCCGTACTTCACAATTTCGTGTGTGACGTGCCGTGTGGGACAACCAAAGACATAGTCCGTTGCAAGTGCGACCAAGTTGTCCCTCTCGTCTTGAGGGGAGTTGGCAGGGTATTCGCGAAGGATTGCTATAGCGTGGTTAGGGTGCGTTGCTGTTACAGCAGCTTCGTAAAGAACGTTGTCTACAGGTTTGTTCCAAGCGCCGTAGATGTAGAGGCGAGTCTCTTCAGACGTTGTCCCCAACATTATAGGTTTTCTCTGGAAGTGTCCCTTATCCATGGTAGTAACCGGTTCCCCTGTCACGATGACGCCGTCCACCCAGGGACCCCACGGCTCGAAGTCTTCCAGTAACTTTAATGAGGATAGTTTGTTCCTGCTGAGGTACTGGGCGTAGGCGATGTCGGCGCTGTTCCTCTGGCGGAGGCAGCCGAGGTCCCTGGCGGTGCAGTTCAGGAGTTTGGCCATGTGAGCTCCAAGGAGGAGAGCTTCTGGGTACGTCTTGTATGGGATGGCAAAGGGAGCGCTCTCTATGATGGCGTTACGGAAATACGCCCCGCTTTCTGCCGAGCCGAGGTGAATCATTGTGGACTGCGCTCCAGCACTCTGGCCAAACATAGTCACCTGTAAAACATGGACGTTTTTGAATTATAACCATGGTATTTAGTTAGAAGTTTGTTTTCTAATAGCGCCATTGGCCACTTCATACATCCGAAAAAGTAATGACAGGCATAGCTGAAGCCCATTGTTTTAACACCACTTTGTTTGCCACAGTGTTTCGGCTCACTTAGGGAAGCATGCCAGAAGTAATGCAGGTTTAACACGGGCACGAGTATGCTGACAGGCCAAGATTTGTTTGTTTGTTTGTTTGTCTGTTTGTTTGTTGTTTAACGCCGCACTCAGCAATATTCCAGCTATATGACGGTGGTCTGTAAAACAATCGAATCTGGACCAGACAATCCAGTGATTGAAATCATGAACATCGATCCACGCAATTGGGATCGATGACATATATCAACCCAGTCAGCGAGCCTTACCACCCGATCTCGTTAGTCGCCTTTTACGACAAGCATAGTCGCCTTTTACGGCAAGCATGGGTTGCTGACGACCTATTCTACCCCGGAATCTTCACGGGTCGACAGGCCAAGACTCCTAATCAGGGTTAAAATGGGATTCGAACCCACGACCATAGGATTCTGGTACACCTATATAAAGGCAGGTATAAACAGGTTTGGGTTTGGTTGGTTGTTTTACGCCGCACTCAGCAATATTCCCGCTATATGACGGTGGTCTGTAAATAATCGAGTCTGGACAAGACAATCCCGTGACTGACATCATGAGCATCGATACACGCAATTGGGATCGATGACATGTATCAACCAAGTCAGCGAGCCTGACCACCCGACCCCGTTAGTCGCCTTTTACGACAAGCATAGTCGCTTTTTACGGCAAGCATGGGTTGCTGACGACCTATTCTACCCCGGATCATCACGGGTCGCATAAACAGGTAGGTATCTTGACTAATACATTAACATGAATTGGAACTAAATGTTACCGTTGTGCATCTAAGACCATCCTCGACTATAACCATTCTATTACAGTTATAAATGCCCCTTAACCAATTTAATTTGCCGCCATAGCTTCGCCTTGGAAGTGACGTCTCCATTGCATCTCTCCTATCACAAGCTCAACACAGAACTTTTCTCGCTCGAGATAGTTATTTGATTGGATGCCTTATTTTAGCGTCGCGCCATCGACTTGGGATCACAACGAAGCTATCCTAAAGAATGAGTGAAATATATTTATTGTAAGTGAATGAGTATGTTTTTTCGCCGCTTTTATTATTTATATCACGGCGGGGGACACCAGAAATGGGCTTCACACATTGTACCCATTTGGGGAATCGAACCCGGGTCTTCGGCGTGACGAGCGAACGCTTAAACCACTAGGCTACCCCACCGACTAGGCCTACCAAATCGACGATGATCAAAGGCAAATTTCCAACCTTGCTGAATATCAAAACGACCGTTTGACACGGAATCTAAATGTGACAAGTCGTCAATTCTCACTCTGCTTGGGTCGCCTCCAAACGCCTTGATGTTCTCGCTGACCCACTTCAGGGCCTGTCTCTGGTCCAAGATCCCGTAGTTCCCCACGGCGTCTCCCTCGCCTTTTCCAGTTACCAGGAAACCAAGGGCACCTACGACATCAACAAAGTTTCTAGGTTAAAAGGTAACAGCACCGACAAAATCGTTATACAAGAAGTTAAAAAAGAAACCTTGAATATGTTTTCTATTGGTCTGTCAATAACGTTGTAATGTGCCCGACACCGAAAGAAATATTATTTATGAAACATATTCAAGGTAAAATTGCCGGTCGGAATAAAATCGGAAAGAAAATATAATACAATTATCAAAACATGTTTTTTTTAAAGTGATCACTCTCAAAACATATCGGACGGGCTACATGAATGTGGTGTTTTTTTAAATGGTTTGTTGATTAAAAGGTTAAAGGGTTTCTACCTATTTTATATTTCCCGACTTTAAAGTTTTCTTCGTAAAAAGAACTGCACGTGAAGAAAACATTGTTCAATTATTCCTTATTTAGGAATTTGACTCGGACTTACAAAACATATAATAAAACAACTGCCTCAAAATGTGTAGATCGTTTTGCAATAGAGGTAGATTGTACAACATTAGATCTTGTTGAGGAGGTTGGCGACCGGTACCATTGATCAAAGATAATATATCAAAGGGACGCAATTCTGCACAGCTGATTGTGGCGCTGTAGACAAACCGTGTCCACTTAATAATTGAAACAAGCAATGCATGGGACTCACCGAGCCGGTAGTCCACATTGACCAGGATGATGTCGCCTTTCTGGGTTAGAATGCTGCCGTCGTACAACAAGCTGCCACCACTCATGTGGACGAAGTTGCCGCCGTGAATGTAGACCATGACGGCGAGGGAGGAGGTGGCGTTGGTGCCGAGAGGGGCCCAGATGTTCAAGTACAGGCAGTCCTCAGACGTCTATGAATAACATCAATGACTTATGAATGTACATTGAAACTTCTTCCCTTGTCTCCATGCTTCGTGAGCATTGTTCAGAATTGTCTCTCATTCCAAATATTTATTAGTTCGTGGGTGATAGGATCAAGGTTGTGGTATGCGACCTTACAAAATGTCGAGTTGTCGAAGTGTCGCCCTTTTGGTAAAAGTGAAAATATTATTCAAGGTACGAAAACGCGAACTCGTTTTCGCATTGTCGCGCTTTGGTTAGTAATGACACTACCAAAAGTGTTAGTAAATACAAGTGTTTCGGAAGGTTCTTCGCGGCATTTCGAAACCAAGTATTACACATAACAATATAATTAATGATACTTGGTTTGATTATTTTAGCAATGTTTTCATTGGTAATTCCACATGTGATATAGACTTAAACATGTATAATGATGATAATGTGTTTGATGTAGATCCTTGTGATTGTCACAAGGTCGATGAGGTAGATCAATATATACTTGAGTCTCCTATTACAGAACACGAAACACAAAATGCAATCTTTCACTTAAATGATGGCAAAGCCACAGGTATAGACAATATTATTATGGAAATGTTAAAAGTCTCCGAAAACGTGAGAATGCCTTTCTTGAAGGCATTATTTAATAGAATATTTAGTCCAGTGTGTTTCCTGATGTTGCTGGAGCGGTTATTATCCCTATTATTGTCTCGGGCAACGTGTACACCACTATGCTATGTATACGACTAGTGTTCTGGTCAAACAGTAGGAATAAAACACCAGAAGCTCAAGCCGGCTTCAGACAGGATTATTCAACTACTGACCACATGTTTACATTATATTCGATGGTACAGAAGTGTTTGAGCCAATAGAACCAGAAGCTCAAGCCGGCTTCAGACAAGGTTATTCAACTACTGACCACATGTTTACATTATATTCGATGGTACAGAAGTGTTTGAGCCAATAGAAATGCAAACCATGGGCTGATTATGTAGATTTTAAGAAAGATTTTGATTTAGTTAATCGAGGTAAATTACTTTAAATTCTTATGGTCGGAATTGTAAAATGCTGAACGCTGTAAGACGTATGTATAAAATTAATGTGTTAGATCGTGTTTAAGAAGCAACGTAAAGGTCACACGTTGTTTTGACTGTCCGAATGGTTTACGCCAGGGATGCATTTTAAGCCTGCTGCTTTTTTCATTCGTCATACGTGAACTGTCAAAGGAAGTTATTTCAAATGGCAAACATGGTATTCAGTTTTTTCCTGATTTATTAGAAATATTGTTTACTTTTATTTGCTAACGACGTTATTTTAGTATCAGACTGTGCCAATAGGTTACAGACGCAACTAAATATTAATGACACTTATTCCAATAAGTAAATTCGGCTAAAACGAAAAATCTGGTATTTAGACGGGGAGGTCCTCTTTCGATAAATAATACTTAGCATTATAAAGGATTTTTTTATTGAAGTTGTACCAAGCTACAAATATCTTAGTTTATTCTGTACATCTTCAGGAAATTTAAGCAAAAGTTTATCAGATGCCATTAGGGGAAAATGATCACTCCTTAAACTAACTTGTTTCGACTATGGTACTTTAAAGGATATGTGATACTCTAATACAGCCAATTCTACTATGTGGTTCTGAGTCGTGGGGGTTCCAGAAATAATCCATCTTCTAGCCATTAAAAAGTTTCTTAGTGTCGGATTACAAACACCAAATACAATGGTATATGGCGAAACAGGTCGCTTTCAAATCTATAGATACTCTCTCTTCAGAACAAGAAAACACTGGCTTAAATTAGTTCATATGCATTAAGACAGATTACCTAAGAAGGCATATGACATGTCGTTGCATTTAGGTAATGGTGGTCGCCACACATGGACCTCTAATATCCGTTCGCTATTTTTTGTAGCGGTTGGTCACACATGGACCTCTTATATGCGTTCGCTATTTTTTGTAACGGTTGGTTATCAACTGTCCTTTCTGCACTTATTCAAGGATGCATGTATCAATATGGGTTTTTTTCAGAACTGGTACTCTCTCCTTAGTTAAAGTTCACGTTACTATTTACATAAAGAATTCAAGAGACTATTAGAACTAGACAAACATCCCTCATCTTATCTAAAAGAAACTTTAGAAACTTTCTTCTAAGGTTTAGAGCGGGACTTTTAAAATGTAGGGAGATATTTGGCTATGGACAGATCACTAAGGATATGTCCAGTTTGCAATTACAGTATAGAGGACGAATTTATTTGTTCATTTTATGAAGATCTTAGTAAAAATATATCTACCACAAAGTTTCTGTAAATATCCTAGCCTAATTAACCTTAGGTCTAGTTTGGGCACTCACAATGAACGTTTAGTAAAGATTTATCACTATACTTGTTATGTGCTTATGAAAAACGTAAATCGATTGTAATGAACTGATATAGTCCTTGTGTGTTTGTATTTATGTTTTTTGTATCCATGTATTGTATCATCTAGTTCCTGTGTTTAAATGGTTTTGTATATACGGGCCTGATGCCTTCATGCAAATAAACTTCTTCTTCTACCAAAATTCATTTCTCAACTCTCATAATAAAACTGAGAAATACTTTTCCGTACTGTTCCTTTTAAAGGCGTTTGCATCCGGTGTATATCTCCATCCTATTATAGCACCTACCTGGACCCTTCGTCACCTTAGGGAAGTGACATCACGGTCTTCATCTTTCTTATCAAAAAGTTCCCATCGCACATCTGTCGCATTCAGTGCATTTTGATTTGACGGTTATTTGAACACTGTGAGATGTCACGGACTGGCTTATCGAGGGCGACCGGTGGATATTCGAGGGGAGATATAGTCGTATATGTACTCACTATTTGGGGGCAGACCATCGGGGGGTCCAAGGCGTCACACTTGAACTGTGGACAGCCTGGTTTAATATGGGTGGCGGTGTACACGGACGGGGCCCATGATGCAGGTTCCTTTGGGGGTGCCCATCTGGAGGTAGGTAAAGTCAGTGAGTATGGTCAAGCGTCTCTAATGTTATGCTATGTGGGAGAAAAGCCCGACGTTACTGGACGTTTACAAACGGAAACCCACGAGCACGGGTACGGTGCTGACAAATCAAGAAACAATCAGGGCGAAGCGAATTCAAATCCTCGGTCAGTGCAGACAGGAGTCCGTTGACGTTAACTCGTCGTAAGAGGCGACTACCGGGATCGGGTGTTCAGGCTCGCTGCAGGTCATCGTATCCCAATTTCCAGGGCGATGCTCATGAAGTCAGTCACTGGATTGTCTGGTCCAGACTCGATTATTTACAGACCACCGTCATATAGCTGGAATATTACTGTGTGCGGCGTTAAACAACAAACAAACAAACAAACAAACCCCCTCTCGCAAATAAAACAAAAGCCAACCAAAATACATCATCAACAATTAAATCTTTGACACCGCACAAACATGTATCGGAATATGTGTATGTTCCATTAAAAACTAGCCAAGAAGTTCCTACAAGACCTACCACAATATCGGTCTTCTAGAGAGTAGATAATGAATACTTGATTCGAATGCATCCAAGTGGAGGTCAAACGTGTTGACACATTTCCAATAAATACTAAGTCTGTCAGTACAACTCTACCAATCACGATACATGTTATGCTGAAAGCGCTCGTTAAATCTCCCAAACGAGTTTATTGTATATATCATAATCAGGGTGAAACTGTGATTCTGATAACAGGATCCTAGAACGTAGAAGGGACGCAACTCACATTGATTTGCGCCATTCGTCACCACTCGCCCCTTTCCGTAACCTGCAAGAAGACTCGTCCCCCTATCGATGAATGTTATGTGCGAAAATACGACAAACCAATCAGAATGCGCTTATGACTTGAAGTACTTTATTAAAGAAACCCCCAGGAATATATTTTGATTTTACATATGTCTTGCATATAAAATATACTCAAGATACATTTCAATCATATTGTATGATACTGTATGTCCCGATGTGTTTTAAATCACATCTGAAATATATATGATATATGGCGGAAATACGCGTGAATAATTACCCAACGAGTTGACAATTCTTTTAGCTATGCCCATTTGCGGTTAGACGAAACCCAGTCGCAAAAATGGCCACGAGAGGGGCACGAATCGGTATTCGGCTGTCCCGGAATAACACGAGTTGGTCGCGAACGTGATTTGCGCCCGAGACAACCGAACCACCCGTATTCCACTTTAAACGTAAGTGTTATCCAGATGACCATAAACATGATAACAAATGTACGTTATCAGTTACGATAACTAATGTGTAAAGGGGCGTGATGGATTGAGGTGGGTGATGGATGGGGTTGTTGATAGATGGGGGATTTGTGATAGGCGAATGAGGATGATGAGTCGGATGGAGGATGGTTGAAGGTGGATGCTTTTGCTAGTGGTTTTTAACACCACACTCAGCAATTTTCCAGCTATATGGCGGCGGTCTGTGAATAATCGAGTCTGGACCAGACAATTCAGCGATTGACATTATGAGCATCGATCTACGCAGGTCGGATATGACGACATGCATTAACTGAGTCATCTAGCATGACCATCTTCGCCTCTTACGACAAGCATGGTTGCTGAAGACCAAATGGGGTAGATGTTGGGTGGGGTTAGGTTTGGTGAATATTTGCTTGGGTTGATAGATTGTCCTGAAACGGGAACGGGCGTAATAACACACAGATAACCGCATTGTAGAGTGAGAGATGTGAGATATGTAGACCCTGGTATATAACTGTGGACGTCTACAAATACAGCTGTGTATCTTCGGGAATGGGTAGATACTGCTTATCTACTCGGACAAAGTCTGAACGTCCCAGATGTTGTTTATCAGAATAAGTCAGTAGTACATTTTGGTATATAACTGTTTATAAATAGCTTTGGGATGTTAAGCCCTAATTACATTGGTATGCCCAGATATAGTGGTAATAAGTTTACAAGCAGCGGCGTGCACGTATTCGTCTTCATATTCTTGATGGGTGAGGTTAGGTGAAATGGGGTTAAACGTCGCGTCTAAGATTATTGCACTGTACTACTCCTGACTGACGCCGATTTTATAGTGCAAGCACACTGAGATACCATGCCGCAGTTTAACATGAATATCCCACTCAGACACAGTATACAGACTCCCAGCCAACCAGTCCTTGTTTTAGAACCTTAATGCCGAGCGCCAGGCAGCATAACAACAAGTATATTCTTTTAAAGTCTTTAGGTATGACGCTCTCCGGGCGGACGCTCTACCACAGAGCACGGAGGGGAAGGGGGTGAGTGAGTGAGTATGGTTTTACGCCGCTTTTAGCAATATTCAAGCAATATCACGGCGGGGGACACCAGAAATGGGCTTCACACATTGTACCCATGTCGGGAATCGAACCCGGGTCCTCGGCGTGACGAGCCAAGCTTTAACCACTAGGCTACCTGACCGCCCCGACACAATCAGTGAACCAGCATGCACTACGGAACTGTTTTCAGGTGCACTCATGGGATAAAAGAGTGAGTATGGTTTTACGCCGTTTGTAGCAATATTCCAGCAATATCACGACGAGGACATCAGAAATAGGCTTCACACATTTTACCCATGACGGGATTCGAACCCGGGCCTTCGGCGTGGCAAGCGAACGTTTTAACCACTAGGCTACCCCAACGCTCCTTAGATTAATTACCTAAAAGATGTATGTTTACTGTACTGGGTAAATGCTATACTGGCACAAGGTTTAGGAGCGGGATTGGGCCAATGTGAAACAAACGTCATACATACTGTGGTACAATCACATGAATGCAACACGATATTATAACGCTTGTACTGAACTGTATATTGCTTCCAAGAGATGGGTCAGGATGATGAAGATGAATCGCACTTCTAACCATTCTGATGACCTCCAGATTAAGGGATGCACGTTTAAACTAATAATTATATATGGGATCACGTCTCTTATTTATCACTGAAATAACATATTACTCAAAATACGATAAAGAAGAGCCGAATTTTTATGTGACTGCAGTTAATATGTCATGGCTGGTTGGTATTGCAACACACAGCTCAAATTGTGGGCTTACTCTTTGTTTGTTTGTTTGCTTGTTTGTTGTTTACCGCCGCACTCAGCAATATTTCAGCTATACGACGGCGGTCTGTAAATAATAGAGTCTGGACCAGACAATCCAGTGATTGACATCATGAGCATCGATCCACGCACTTGGGATCGATGACATGTATCAACCAAGTCATCGAGTCTGACCACCCTGTCCCGTTAGCCTCTTACGACAAACATAGTCGCCTTTTACGGCAAGCATGGGTTGTTGAAGACCTATTCTATGGGGCGGGCTTTCTGTAACTTCTTTTGAATGATACAATAATCAGTATAGGTAGAAAATGGTGATTCGTTTGTTCAACATCAGTTGTGCAGCTATTGGCTGCTTGTTAAACCAATGATGATGTCTCTCATCTAGTAGACGTCTCTCATTTACTAGACGTCATAAATATATGTAGGTAAAGCACTACCACAACGAAGAGAGACAAACCTGAGAGCACCGACAGGGGGCTGCGCATACGGCACTCCATGGTATATGACATTGGTGGCGGTCTCAGCTCCCTGAATCGGCCCGTACTTGGTGTCGGCGATGGGTGCGGCGCCGAGCCCCAGCGAGAGACAGACGGAGAGGAATACAAGACGGAACATCCTTCCAGGGAGACGGACAGTCTGGCAGACGCGGTGTCTGAGGTGATGACAGAGGTGACAGCTCAACTTGGCCTCATATCAGATCATGTGACCGATAAGAAAACCAACCATCTGACACCATGACATCTGACTCCTGTAGGAGCACGTGACCAATAAATTGCTTAACTGCATATGTTTAGAACTGTCAATTTACAATTATTGCCAATGTCATCTCCAAGTGTAGAATACCTTATATCACAATTAATGAAACTGTTATTAATAGAAATATTATCGAAGTTGTACTACGTTTATTTACTACTTTATTCTTTAATTAAATATCAAAGGAGGAATGGGTGTCTTAGTAGTGCCGGGCGCCGCAATACTTTGGGCAGAGTTGCCTCAATTTGATGTCAGGATACGCTGGTCTTTGGCGCGTATCCAAGATCTGCCTAGATCATGATTTCTTTATCTGAGAGCACAATACTCTGACTCATGAGTTTCACCATTGTTATAGGGGGCACGGGTGATCCAGTCGTCTAAGGCGCCGCGATTCGCTGTGCAGAGTTGCGTCCCTTGGGCACGCCAGAAACCTATGATTGTGGGTTCGAATACCGGTTCACCCCGATTATGTTTCTAGGTTTGTCAGCACTATACTCGTGCTCGTGGGTTTCACCAAAGTGGTAAACGTCTGAGACCTGCATCACTTCGGGCTTTCCTCCCACACTAAGCTGACACACCGTGATATGACTGGAATACTGTTAAAAGAGGCGTTAAATACAACTCACTCACTCACCATTGTTATAAACCTACTGCCACTTTTGTCTGTTGTATTGTGGGTATCTTCATATCTTATAGTAACCTTGTGAGAGGTACTACTTTAAAGTGAGGCTTGGTTAGAAGTTTTACATTTGAATTGTAAGACCAAGGCTTTACATTTGAAGGTTTACGAACCTGCTGTGAGGTTTTACGTTTGAATTCTAAGACCTAGGTTTTCCAATTGACATTTTCTTAACTGGCCTTTTGATGTGAATATAATGTTGATTTTTGATTGTTTAATAGTCATTAGTCAATAACCCACTGTTTTTTTCCCACTGAGCCAGCGGAGCAGGCGATGAAGGAATTTCAATTTTACATGCCATGACTTTGGTTGTGTGCATGTTGTACGTGGTCTTTCTCTTGATCGAATTCCCGTTGTACCTCGGCACACTGTATTGTTTCAATGTAAGGTATCCCGATGCTTTCTCATTTTATCTGGTATATCCTGAACATCTACGATAAAACTACAACAGCGAGGTTATCGGTTGCCACCTGGTATAAGGTAAATGGCGGTGGGACAGTCTAGCTGTAAAGCGTTCGGTTAACCATTTGGGTATACTGTCGGGTGTGCCTCCGACCTGGAATGGCTGGAATATTGCTGAAAAGTGTTTTCGTATATCAACTACACAATGCCTAGACATCGAGGTTGTTTAATTCTTGCCACGATGCTTGTTGACAATTAATTAAACTGAGGGCAAAGGGAAGTACACCTTTGTTTTTTATGACTTTTTTTCTAATTTTGAAATGTTTAAAATCAAATTATATTTTTACGAATAAGATCATGTAGAAGTAAAGTATCTTAAGTTATCGAAATTATATCGCCAGTACAGATATTTCTGGCGATATAATATCAATAACTTAAGATATTTTCAATTGCAAATCAAACATATGATAAAATCAACTGAGAGGTATTGTTTATTTTCCTCCTCAGCTTTTTTGATAACGTCTGAAGCTGGTACCAGGTGAGAATAAATATCACTTCCGTGATCATTTGTCTCCAACGTACAGGGGCGGTCGGGTAGCCTAATGGTTAAAGCGTTCGCTCGTCACGCCGATGACCCAGGTTCGATTCCCGACATGGGTACAATGTGTGAAGCCCATTTCTGGTGTCCCCGCCGTGATATTGCTTGAATATTGCTAAAAGCGGCGTAAAACCATACTCACTCACTCCAACGTACATAAGCAAAGCTACTATAAAAAAAAACACTTTATTATTTATATATTATTTTCTACATAAATACATACTACAAAACACATGTACGATTGATGGGTGATATAGCTCACATAGAACAGGAACCCATGCAACATAATCCCTGCAAAACACAAAACACAGGGTGTTACTAACCAACAAATCTAAAAACGATAGTGTTATAATATATTTAAGGAGGGCAAGAATGTTGCTTTTTAATTTTGATATTAAGCCTCAGTAAAATGTCGGAATGTGTCGCTTTAACCTTCGTGGTCACTGCATTTTCCGCCACACAACAAATGAAAGAAAAGAAACATGCCGACACATGAATAAACAAGTGTCGGCTAGGTTCGTTGTTTACGTGATCCAACAGTTTGTTGTTATAAACGCATTATTCGTTCGTTCTTTAGTGGAACTTCCGAATCGTTAATCCAGACTGGACCGTTCATTATGACATCGTGTGGAATAACAGATATTCGTATACAACGAAACCATTATTATGCAGTAATATGGTTATACTCCTGACAGTAATGGCATACGTTGTAGATCATCCTAAAATGTTAACCTAAATAACTTAAAAAGAGGTTATTTCATGTGTCGAGTGATATATTCTGATCTCCTTTTCCACCGTCACGAGATGAGAGAAACATGATATTTCACGAGACCTGTGGAAGGTGGAATATCTTATTTAGTATATACTTTTTAGAGTTTTGTAGTTGTCTACCGGAAAATTATATTTTTCATTACGAAGGTAAAACCTTGAGACGTAAATTCTCCCAACCTAACACACAGGGATGGATCACCACCCCTTGTATTTGCGACTTAAAAAGTAGTTCCTTGTTTGCAAAATCTTAAAAATATATAACCAAAAAATTAAAAATATTTTGGGTCACGAAAATCTTTAGTATACATTTGGATATGATTATGTACAAAAACAACTTTAACAAAAGATATTCTTGAAAACTTGGAGACCGCTGTTAGAAGCGAAAGAATACACGCTGGTCAAGTAACAAAACACACACCGTCGCAGTGGTGACTTAGCATAACACCACTGCCACAGGCTTATTTGCATATCACGTGACCGGACTTTTCTCTTGTTTGTAAACAAACGCGCTTTTTCTGAAATCAGTATAGAACGGACTAATGCAAGTATTTGGGGGCGCTTTACATATTATTTTGCATAACTATATAGATATGCTACTACAACTGCGACAGTGAGTTGCATGGCAATATATATTTATGCATCAAAGTGACCGTGTCGCTAGCTCTCCGTTGGGCTTCGATCACAGAACGTGGAGCCGTACAACCAATGTAAACATAGGATAACTACGCAAAAACAAGTAGATTTTTACGTATTTGCATACTTTCTCAATGAAAGTTAACCATTCTTTGACATTTGTTTATGAAAATGTGTAGACTTGGCAAACGTGAAACGGATGAAAAGCATATGCAATATCTTGAACGGACTGTGAAAGATGTGACGAATCGTCACATGGCGCTGGCCTGTGGCAGAGGTACTATGCTAGCTGGTTGCCGGCCGCTTTGCGAAACGAACACTCACGATTGACGAGTTAAATGAGAAATTGACAGTTTATAACGAAACATTTTCGAGAGAATAGCAACCGGCTAGAAGTGAATATTAACTCCCAAATGACCTTCTGTCATTATTTTGCCTTTTCAATGTGGAACTCACGTAAAAAGGACGTCAACAGTTTGTGAACAGTTTGCCAGACACTTAAGATCAAGGGAGACAATTTAAGGGGATGTAACTCTTGTATGACAATTGTACCGTCAAAGTAGTATGTTCACTGCAGTTTTTCTCAACTTCAGAAAACTCAGTGTTTCACACTGAAGTCTATTATAAAACTGTTTTCTTTTAAAACAAAGCGTAGAAGGGGTTGGAACAGTCAATAATTATATATGTATCTATTTTCAAAAGAATCACGGTCGAATATTCAATGTCAGAATTTACTTTTTACCTGAGTTTTTACCACTTTTATTTTTGGTCAAACTTTTCTTTTGGTCGGATTGAAGAAAGTCATAGTCTCCACTGGATGAAGAATTCACATCCTTCTCGAACGATTTCGGATCTTTCGTTGGTTTTACGTCTGTCGAAACAGGAATCAACAGGTCATCAGAATCCCCTCGAAAATGCACGTATTTTTTATGCAAATCCTCATCCACACTGACAGCAACAGAAGCTGCCGTTCTCGTGGATGCTTTAACTTCAGCCCAGTCACCGGCACTGTGGGAGGCAGTATTTTTCGTAGTGTTTTTTCCCCCCGGCCCAGATTTTACAGGGGAGGAACTCCTAGGTGTTACTAATGATCCTTTCGATGGAGTCTTTGGTACTGGTTTTGGGGTAGATGCGTTTTTCTGGATAGCTGCTGGTTTAACAGCTACGATCTTATTGTTAGCTGCTGGTCTGGGAGATGGTGCTGTTTTAGGTCGTTGGGACCCAGTTGAAGGTTTGGTCCCACTGGAAAGCTTCGTGGGACTCGTACTGGAAGAGCGAGGGTGGTCCTTCCTCCCAACATCCTTTGAAGGAGAAGACTTGCCAGAAGCAGCAACTAACGGACTGATCGTGAAGATGTCTTTCGCAGGACTTGATCGCCCAGTATTGATCCCGGTGTTCGTTGGTGTAGTTCTTCCCCCCGATACAGGCCTTTTCACCACCACAGGACTTCCTTTCACAGGAGAATCCTTCTGCGGAGAGGACTTTCCAGAAACATCTTTAACAGGTGTTGTCCTTCCAGATACGGGAGTGGCCTTTGCTGTAACGGGAGTTCTTCCGTTTTCCGACGCCTTTCCGTTATCCTTCTGTGGAGGACGGGGGGGTTCTTTTGAAGCCGCCTTGAAGACTGAATCTTTAGTCGATTTTGAGGAGTAATGACTCTCTGGCTCCGTGATGGAGATGACGGGTACGTTGATCCCTCCTTCAGTCTGTGGTTCTAATTCATCTATAAACGTCACATGTGCTAGTGACTTCTTAACAGTTCCTTTAACCGGGAGTTTATCATTGGCATTAGCTTCTTCAACGTTTATAACATTGTCCGTTGACCTTTGAGACCCTCTCCTTTTTGCGTTGCTTGACCATAACTTGAAGAATCTTTTTGTGTTCTTTTTCTTCTCCTTCGGGGTCATTAGCTTCTTCTTCTTCTTCTTCTTAGATTTTGGTTTCTTGAAGTGACTCAGTGCTATCCGAGCCCTGATCAACTTCCGTGTGTGTTCGCTGATGTCACTTGCGTCGTCGTTGAGGGTAGCCCGGTCGTAGCAATAGTCGACTAGCTTGGACACCACGAACGCGATTACACCTACTGCTACCAACCCGGCCGCCGATATGAAGGCTTTGCTTAAGTCATCCATACCGGACGAGGAATCTGCAAGGAACACACGTGATCATATTAGTCCATGACAACATTGGGAAAACGAGTGAGTGAGTGAGTGAGTGAGTGAGTGAGGATTTACACCGTTTTAAACAATATTCCAGCAATTGGGCGTACCAGAAACGTGCTTCACACATTGTACCCATGTGGGGAATCGAACCCGGGCTTTCGGTGTGACGAGCGAGCGCTTCAAATACTAGGCTACACCAAGCGCCCCTTACAAATTAGTGAGAACAAGCTAACAGTGACTTGGTTTCATTTAACGCCGCTTTGAACAGTATTTCCGTTATGACACAGCGTGTCAGCTTCATGTGGGAGGAAAACCTGAAAGGATACAGTTCGTAGATGTTTGCCACCTTGACACCAACGAGCACAAGCATGGTGATGACAAACGAAGAATAATAAAAGATTCATCTCTTTGACCATGGATTTCTGGCGCACATGATAGATGCACATCTGCACAACGAAGTCCGGCTTCTCAGACTCAGACAAACAGAAATGGTAGAACATTGATTTTAACAAGAATGGGCAAATTTTAAAATCATGTGTCGGAATTTTCACAGAGCTATGATCTAGGTTGTTTCATTTCCATTATTTGTAAGTGGTTAAATGTTTACAAGAACAATTATAGACATTGGCTAAAATGTATGGAAAGGGCAGTTTTCTTTCGATTTCTAAAAAACCCATTTTTTTCAAAAAACGAAAGGTTCACAATTTGCTGCTATTGTCTAGTGCCACTAGTGGAATAAACATGCATGACTTGCAAATATCTTAATTGTCCTTCTGAACAACATCTTGTTGGACATACTACGAGGGCCTTGGCAACCTAATTCTCGCCCGCGGGCAGCTTGTGTAAGTACCTTATGGCTTGATTGGATCACAATCTATAATGCTGTCTTGTTCATTGTGTATGAATGTCTCAGTAAACCCATAGAATAGACCCTGTCTTTACCGTGTAAGTTGCATATCGGCTTAACAGGTGTCACCCTCGATTAATTACCAGCCCGCCCGACAGTCCGAGACTGTCTATTTTGCAGATGCAGGGTCAGTTTTGAAAGGTTTCACGCCCGATGTTCGGGCTATTATTGTATTCCCTACATTTCCTAAGCTTTCTAGTTTTATTCCAATGTAAGAGGTAACAGAACTGTAAACGTTAAACACATTATTCAGTCACTTCCGGGCATGCTAATATCAAGTTACTGTCCATATGCTATTCTCCTATTTACCCTCATGTTACTTTTGTTCGACAGTCTAGAAACTTCTGGACAGGCAAAATTTTATCTGGTCCCTAACTTTGCAGTCCGGTTGTCTGACTGAAATTTGGGGGGATTTTATGCACTGGGTATTACGACAAATAACCTGCACCCATTCGCATTCACGGTCCGATTCGAATGTTACGACTAACCGTACAATGAAATTACACATGTGAGGAAAGTAGTAAATTTGCTTGCGCTTCTCAAACCTGAAAATGTGGCACATGCCAAATGGTACAAAATTCTATAGTAATGTTAATGTTTCGAGATAGCGCTATGTAAGCGGGCAAAATTTATATGTATTTATATAGTGAGGCCTTCGGGGCCGGAGAATAGGTTCGAGATATCGGTACATTCGAGATAATGAGGTTCGACTGTAATTTCTCTGGCTGGATGCTTGAGGTTGTCGGTTCGTGAATAAGTTGAACCCCATGGTGCGAGGTGATTCCTTTTCATAAACCGACAGTTACAAGTATGTTTTCTGACTTAAAACACATCTGTACTTTCTAAAACTTGAAATAGGTTTATACTTCGGCAGGGGTAGGGCCTAGCAGTCTATGCTCGTCGTAAGAGGCGACCAAATGGATGGAGTGGTCGGGCTCGGTGACTTGGTTAATTGCTGTCATCGTAACCTGAATGCGAGGAGGGGGCACGGGTGGCCCAGTCGTCTAAGGCGCCGCGATTCTCTGGGCAGAGTTGCGTCCCTTGGGCACGCCAGAAACCTATGATTGTGGGTTCGAATCCCAGTTCACCCCGATTATGGTTCTAGGTTTGTCAGCACCATACCCGTGCTCGTGGGTTTCACCGAAGTGGTAAACGTCTGAGACCTGCATCACTTCGGGCTTTCCTCCCACATTAAGCTGACACGCCGCGATATGACTGGAATACAGTTAAAAGCGGCGTTAAACCCAACTCACTCACTCACTCACTCACTCACTGAATGCGAGGATCGTTGTAAACAAAATCAGTCACTGGTTTGTGTGGCCCAGATACGACTATCTACAGGCCGGCGTCACATAGCTGGAATACTGCTAAGTGAGACGTTAAACAGCAAACTATCAAACAAACGACAAAACTTTCTTTTGATGAAAATATTTTAAAACTAATCCATTGCTCTTTGAAGTCTCTATGAGCTCTGGATGGCGACATGCTTTTCCCATCAACATTCAAATGTCAAAATAACAAAATGTATCCATTAAAACCAAATGTATGTTAATTGAAATGCATTTTCACGATAATGTAAGCATGAAATATTAACAACAAATTCTCCATCCATGAAGGTAAACGGATCGTTTGTACAATAGAGTGACGTCACACATGTGTTGTAATTAAGAAATTAACTACCACGGGTCGTTTATTTCTTATACGACATATCAACATTATGTATTATTATCTTATATATGTATTTAACACTCTGCACATTTTAATATAGGTGATACATTAGGCGAGACCGATTTCACATTGTCTTTTATGCAATGTGCCAAAACACTTCTGGCAAATTAAAAAACAATATTTATCCAGGGTTGATTTTAGCTGAAATAGCTATAACAAAATTCAAAATAATGTTCAGAATGGGCATATTTCTCTCAAACAAAGCTTCTTTTTTTTATTATCTACAGATTAAAATTAAAAATGCAGTGAAGAGGGTTTGGGTGATCGTGGTACACTCGGGCTGGTTAGGCTTATCATAAGCTCAGGGCCCTTGTCCCTACTACACGCAGCCCAGACAGCGGATGGGACTTCTTCCAGGAAGCGCTGCCTAGTCAAACCCACCCAGCACTTTTCGGAGAATGTGAAGATTCCCCAACACTGCAGCCTTCTGCATTACCCAAATTGTCAGAAGGACTGCATTCCTGGTAGCAAACCCGGGTACTCTCCCAATGTCAGTCAACAAATCGGGAGGTACCAAACCTAAGGCACCGAGAACAATGGGGAGTCGGACAACTTGGTACTTGGGATGCAAGCGTGACATTTCGAAAGTGAGGTCCGCATATTTGCCATGTTTTTCTTCAATCTTGTCAATCACATTTGTGTCAAAGGGGACAGAAAATTCAATTATATAAATGATTTCATTGGATTTATCAAAAAGGGCAGGATCAGGTTTGTTTGCGGGGATACGTCTGAGGCTGTAAATGGGCCTATTCCAAAGGATTTTGTATTTATCATTTTCCATGACCCCCTCTACATATTCTGGGTCGTACCATGGATGGACCTCTGTGTCAAAACCACAAGCATGGCGAAGACGGTAATAAAATTATCGAGCTACACCATCATGTCGTTAAGATACTATGTTTGTGCCAAAGCTGGGCATCCACTGACAATGCGTTGGACAGTCTCATTAAATTCATTGCATTATCTACATTTCATATTTACATTTTGATGCAAAATCACACATTGACGGTTTCGAGTGGGAAGTGACTGGCCCTGACCAGCAAACAGAAAGCCTTCTGTTTCACTTTTCAGGCCAGGCGATTCAACCAAGCGAAGGAGTGACTCTGCAGGGTTGCTGATCACATAAACTCGATGCAGTGGTCGTTCAGATAGCCTCTCCTTGAAAAACTGAGTCTGGGCCGACTTGACATGGCACTTCGCTTGGTTGACACTCATTTCTGTACCGTCCAGCAGTACAGAACCATCAACAAAATCAACACCGACATTGAGATTATGTCCCACATCCTTGGCTAGTTTTAGAAAACTGTGGAATGCCTTGTTTTCATCATGAGCTTGACATGCTTCACAAGAGGATCATCAGACAAATAAATGTGTGCAAAAGTGCACACAAAAATTCTATCATGAATAGCCCCAACGTTAATCAAACCACGTCCTCCCATACTGATTGGTAAATATAAGCGATTGAGGGAAGAGCGAGGGTGGTGGGCGCTATTGTCTGACATGATTCTTCGCGTGAGGGTGTATTATTAATGTTGTTGTTGTTGTTGATGGTGTTGTTGTTGTTGTTGTTGTTGGTGGTGGTGGTGTTGTTTTACATTTGCGAAAGGCTGGGTTTCACGTTTTCACCCTTATTCAAATGTGTAACGCTGTGTACCTCTGATATACGGTGAATGACTTTGTATCTTATTAAGCAATGAAAATCGATTTTCATGTAAATATTTGAACACTATAACTCTATGAGAAACATAGGTCGTCATTAACTCCTGCATTAGCAAATAGTTGTATTGATGTCAGATCAGCAACAATTCCACTTATTGATTATTATGACATCTAGACACACGGGTACTTGTTCATTAAGGTAATTATAACGCTATGCCCTTCTTACCACGTTAGGCTACACTGGATCCCAAGTTGGCTTGTTTGTTGTTTAACGCCGCACTCAGCAATATTCAAGCTATATGACAGTTGTCTGTAAATAATCAAGTGTGGACCAGACAATCCAAAGTTGACGTCATGAGCATCGATCTACGAAATTGGGATACGATGACATGCAGCAACCAAGTCAGCGAGCCTGACCACCCGATACCGTTAGTCGCTTATTACGACAAGCATAGTCGCCTGTTACGGCAAGCACGGGTTGCTGAAGACCTATTCTAACCCGGATGGTCACGGGTTGGGTCTCCTGTGCCCTAAAGTTAGTTACTGAAATGAGGATCGGTGGTTACAATGCCACTTGACAGAGTACGTGTCATTGTTCCAGAACGAAATGGAGTCTTGCTATAGCTCTTGCTATCAAACAGTGGTGTCCTAGCCTCTGTTCGAACTATTTATAGGCCGATCGGATCGAGCTAAATATTGCAGATACAACATTCACTCGTTCACGTCAAACATGAAGGCGAATACAAATATACCAATGAGATACTTTTTGTTCAATGACACTTTCTACGAAATAAAATTAACGTTTTAACTTTTTTTTGAATTTTTTGATAGTTTATTGTTAATAATATTCATATTAACACAAATTTTCAACTGTACTTCAAAAGAAAGTATACACTTGTATACAATTGTATTTAATCAAAACGTTACTTTATCAAAACAGTCGCCGAAACAAAGACGTACAAAACACAACTATGATATCCGTATCAAATACATCACCATCAAATAACCATTTCTTGTTTGTTTCATTTTAGCCTGACATCAAACATAGGTGTATACTTTCCTTTGGCCAGGCAATTTATGATTTTCAATCTGAGAAAGTTTAAAGAGATACTCGAGAACGGTCGTTTTCAAAATAGTGTCGTACTTACTTTGAGCCTTGACCTTGACAACCAATATTGTTGTCAGTATCCACAAGCAGACTTGGTCGTTCAGGTTCATGGCGATATGAGCGCGGGTTAATGAGGTACTTATTTCCCTGTGTTATTCACAAGCATGTCCATAGGAGTCCATGTACGTAACGAATACACAGTCCGTTTGAACCACAAACCTCATGATTGAAACATACATAAAACTATGTACATATCACGTCGTTAGTGAAATGTACAGTTGTGTGACTGGACACACTCCGTGACTAAAGTGTAGTGGCATACACCAGCCATTGCAATATAGAACCAGCCATGGCCCGTCAATCACAATTTGAAATACCTCACACAGGTCAACGTCTCACACCATTTCAGCCACACACAAATAAATGTGCTTCAGTCACTGTGGACTATAACAACCGATCATAGGAATTCGTCACAGACGCACTTGCCAAACTTTCGAAGTCACTGCCAAGTTTTTCAAATATACAATTGTATCTCACCAGTGCTGAGTGTTCAATACCCACACAAACCTTGTGTAGATCAGCCGTTCCGCTCGGCCGCGCGGCTTTGTAAAATACGGAATATAACACAACCCGCGTAATGCTTTAGAATAAGCTTATGAAAGCCACCAGACCTTGTGACAAGCTTCTTAGTAGCACAGCCGGTGGTGTTGATAGCTATGTACAAAACACACGTCATTGTTCACGTCAACTAACCATGCTGAAAACAGTACTACCGTCTAACTTCTTTGAGAGGCATGTAGAAGTCGGAGCACTAATTAAGGATAAGATTTATGGAAGAATAACTTCTTTATTACTTTGAGGAGCGACGTTTCGGTGTAGGTTCTAAGACCATTAACACGTATCACTTGCTTGATAACGGTGTTGGAACCTACACTAAAACGTCGCTCCTAATTGTAATAAATAAGCTGTGCATCCATATCCAGTGAGTAATGTCTCTATTGTTATGTATAAATGGGAAAATTATTATTATTTTTGCACAGTCATTAATTATAAATTAAGGAATGAATGAATAAACAACATAACAATATTAATAGTTCGTTTTTAATGATTTTATTACAAGGTACACACGGTTAGTATCTATCGTGAAGACGTCCGATTTTCGATCACAAATCACTTAATTTCGTTAATCCGACACAATCATGTGCAACCAACGATGTCGGATTAACGAGACTTGACTGTATATTAAACTAATTAGTGATTCCGTCGTATTATTAACGAAGTGCCCTCATAACCCTTGGGTGGGCATGACCGTAAAAAAGCCAAAGGTTGGGTTTTCAAAAAAATCTAGGCAGCGGTTACGGGCGGAAGTTTTGTCCGCCATTGCATGGTCGCGATAAGGTATTTAATGCTCGAAAAAACTGATCCAATTACGAACCCTGAAATAACAGTACCGCTTGATTGGTGATTGTGAACGAGACTTGTCGCTCCATGCGTTAAATAAGAGACTTACAGCATGTACCATTGGTTAATGGTGCTTTTTGATTTTTTATAATGGATAAAAAAATTAAAAACACGTTGACATTTAAAAAAGTCGTTTTAATGAATTAATGCTAAAACCATCCCCTCATTAATTGATGGGTATTACTATTCGTGACGTCAGTGCTGTTCTCACCCGCGTAAGTCTAATCGAAGCTCCACACAGCGATATGACGTTAACTTCTGAAAGCGTAACGAATGATATCGCGCTACTTTGAAATCCTTCCGAAAAAAAATTGGACGTTTAATTTACATGCGTCATTGACATCGTTCGTAGGCGATTTATCTTGCGAACGGTTGACTTTAATCTTGTTAATCAGTTTTTGTTTAAACACACCGATATCTTCTCACGAGAGAGGGTAATAAAAATATTTTTTGAGAGATTTATTTGTCATATACATAAAATGTAAGAAATTAATACAAACTAGGAATTCTGGTGTTACTTCCTTAATAATACACATGCTATATTCCCCGATGTGTATTCCGGAGTACGACCCGCGAAGATCCCGGGTCTTCAGCAACCCATGCTTGCCGTAAAAGGCGACTATGCTTGTCGTAAGAGGCGATTAACGGGATCGGGTGGCCAGGCACGCTGACTTGGTCGATGCATGTCATCGATCCCAATTGTGTGGATCGATGCTCATGTTGTCAATCTCTGGATTGTCTGGTACAAACTCGATTATTTACAGACAACCGTCATATAGCTTGAATATTGCTGAGTGCAGCGTTAAACAACAAACAAACAAACAAAAATATTCCGGTGTACAACAAGGCCTAAACACATCATACTACATGTTGTAGTACTAACAACGCATAGTGGTCAATATAGTCTCTAAAATAGCTACTAATTGGTGGCATGTCATCCTGCAAAGACCGGAAACTTATAGTTTATATCCTACCTAGAAACACATGGGCCATGTCTATCTGGAAACTATAGTTTACACCCTACCTAGAAACATATGGGTCATGTCTACCTTCGAAACTATAGGGGCGGTCGGGTAGCCTAGTGGTTAAAGCGTTCGCTCGTCACGCCGAAGACCCGGGTTCGATTCCCGACATGGATACAATGTGTGAAGCCCATTTCTGGTGTCCCCCGCCGTGATATTGCTGGAATATGGCTAAAAGCGGCGTAAAACCATACTCACTCACTCACTCACTCGAAACTAAAGTTTACACCCTACCTAGAAACATTTGGGCCATGTCTACCTGGAAACTATAATTTACACCCTACCTAGAAACATATGGGTCATGTCTATCTGGAAACTATAGTTTACACCCTACCTAGAAACATATGGGTCATGTCTACCTGGAAACTATAGTTTACACCCTACCTTGAAACATATAGGTTATTTATATCTTGAAACTATAAGTTACACCCTGTCTAGAAACATATGGGCCATGTCTATCTAGAAACTATAGTTTACACCCTACCTAGAAACATTTGGGCCATGTCTATCTGGAAATGTATAGTTTACACCCTACCAAGAAACATTTGGGCCATGTATATCTGGAAATGTATAGTATATACCCTACCTAGAAACATTTGGGTCATGTCCATCTGGAAACTATAGTTTACACCCTACCTAGAAACATAAGGGTCATGTCTCCCAGACAAGTATGGGTCACACCCTACCTAGATCCTTTTTAATAAGAAGCTTTTCCCAAAATTAGGGGGCGGTGAGATAGCCCAGAATACAACTTCAACCTCAAAAACAGGTTTCGATGTCTCCCAAGGGTACAATGTGATGCCCATTTCTGTTGGCCACCGACGTGGTATTGCAGGAACATTGAAGCCCCTCATTCACTCCAATATTACACTGAACACACAATTTTCCCATTCGTATTGTTACACATGTACATCGTGTCGCTAATGAGAGCGATTCGTTATCGTTTATCAATAGGTATAGCTCTATGCTGGTTAATATTGCACAAAGTACATGAATGGTACAATTCTTTATTGAGCGTTCCCATTCACGGCGTGCGTTCAAGATTAAACCAATTACCCAGTCAAAGGTAATCCGCCACAGCACACCGTGTCAATGTGTAAAATATTTAACCATTTCATGACCAGCGAAGATTCTATGTTCTTGCTTTCGTGTTTGCAACGAGATCATTAAGCTTTTTTTTCGCTCAAAGCATTCGTCGATGTCTACAAACTCGCTGGAAAATGCTGTTCAACTTAATTGTTCAACTATGACGCTACCTTGAAGCCATGCAAAGTGAGCATGGTGTTACACAGCTGTTAGTAACATTCCAGCAATATCACAGCGGGGGACACCAGAAATGGGCTTCACCATGTGGGGAATCGAACCCGGGTCTTCGGCGTGACGAGCTATCTCACTGAAGCAATGCATTTTGTTAATGAATGATTTTAAGTTGATACGGCTTTTAAACCGTGTTAAATACTCTTGAAATTGTTAAACCTTGTTTCGTTACACCGTAATGGACATACTTCTTTAATGCTTCCCACACTAGCTTCCAGACACTGGCTTGGCAGTGTCCTGACTAAGTGTCAATAATATACAGTTACGAGTGAGTGGGTGAGTATGGTTTTACGCCGCTTTATCAATATTCGAGCAATATCACGGTGGGGGACACCAGAAATGGGCTTTACACATAGTACCCATGTCGGGAATCGAACCCGGCTCTTCCGCGTTACGAGCGAACGCTTTAACCACTAGTCTACCCGAACGCCCCATACGATTACGACCATTTTCGGGTGCTTTCGCAATGACATACATGTAAATGAAAAACTGTGAGTGAGTTGGGCATAATACTGATTTTATCAGTATTCCTGTTATATCAGATTAATGGGAGAAAAGACCGATGTCGTGTAGATCTCAGATGTTTACCACTTTTATATACCTCATTATTATGGTATGGTGCTGACAAACCTACAAACGTAATCAAGGCGAACAGGGATTCGAACCCACGATCAAACGTGTCTGGCGTGCCAAAGCGATGCAACTCTACAGACAGTTGTTCAACTCGCTCAGTAACATGAACATCCTTCACAAACAAATGTTCCAGAAATTAAGGATAAACGGAGGGTAAGTGACTGTGGCATCACACCCTTCTGGTCTTATCACAGTGCAGAATGCCTGGAATAGGCTTCACACATAGGACCGGTGTGGGATATGAAACTTGGGTCTTTGTACACAGTGCAAACGCTGCAACCACTACACTGTCTCCCCACTGGCGCTGGGTCAAGGATTATGACCAAAGAGTGTGTGTCGTAGGAACTGCACACCACCCAAGGTAAGGGGGTAGAGGTAAGGTGTCTCAAAAGTAGCATCACACACCTTGCCTGCTGACTATTCTATGTATTGACACTGGATCCAGTGTTTAATTGAAATGCAGGAAGACAAGCTTGCCTGATGAAAACCAAGCACTGTTTAGTGTGTGTGTGTGTGTGTGTGTGTGTGTGTGTGTGTGTGTGTGTGTGTGTGTGTGTGTGTGCATCACTTTGGTGAAACCCACAATCACTGTTTGTGTGAGTATGTGTTATGTGTGTGTGTGTGTGTGCGCACATGTTTACCCCCTAGGTGAAAACCACAAGCACTGTTTATTGTGAGTGTGTACGAGCATGAGTGTGTTTACCACTTCAGTGAAACCGACAAGCACTGTTTATGGTGCATGTGTGGTGTGTGTGCTCATATGTTTACCACTTCAGTGAAACCGACAAGCACTGTTTATGGTGCATGTGTGGTGTGTGTGCGTGTGCTCATGTGTTTATCACTTCAGTGAAACCGACAAGCACTGTTTATGGTGCATGTGTGGTGTGTGTGCGTGTGCTCATGTGTTTATCACTTCAGTGAAACCCACAAGCACTGTTTATGGTGCATGTGTGGTGTGTGTGCGTGTGCTCATGTGTTTATCACTTCAGTGAAACCCACAAGCACTGTTTATGGTGCATGTGTGGTGTGTGTGCGTGTGCTCATGTGTTTATCACTTCAGTGAAACCCACAAGGACTGTTTATGGTGCATGTGTGGTGTGTGTGCGTTTGCTCATGTGTTTATCACTTCAGTGAAACCGACAAGCACTGTTTATGGTGCATGTGTGGTGTGTGTGCGTGTGCTCATGTGTTTATCACTTCAGTGAAACCCACAAGGACTGTTTATGGTACATGTGTGGTGTGTGTGCGTGTGCTCATGTGTTTATCACTTCAGTGAAACCCATAAGCACTGTTTATGGTGCATGTGTGGTGTGTGTGCGTGTGCTCATGTGTTTATCACTTCAGTGAAACCCACAAGCACTGTTTATCGTGCATGTGTGGTGTGTGTGCGAGTGCTCATGTGTTTATCACTTCTGTGAAACCCACCAGCACTTGTACTAAGAAACCACAAACCCCAATCAGGGTGAAGTTTATATTCAATCCAGTAATATATATAGGGCTAAACTCGGCCACCAGTGCTACCCACAACACGTACAGCTAGAGTGGGGTCAATAATGTCTTGGGTCACTGCTCTCATCAGCCAGGGTCTGGGTACTCCAAGTTTCACCACACACCTGAAGTTTGGTCTCCACCCTAAACTGAATCCTTCTGACCAGAAAATGTTTTTTTATGTACACCAATATAAATGTCCCAAACTAATGACCACATGATTTCAGTTAGGTTATACTATAGATCTAGTACATAATCTCATAAAGTAAAAAGTTGAAGCAAATGGAAACAGAATGGGAACAAAATATAGAAAACAAGATGTTTTATTCACCACCATATAGGGTTCCAGGTTCCTGACAATTAATAACAAATAGTAATGATTAAAAATAAACAACAATACAGGGAGCATCCTAACTGGAAACCGGGACCTTCGCAAACATACACCTCCAGACAAGCTGAGTGTTGATTACTGATAAAGTTAATTTTCTTAAACAAAATACAGATCTAACAAAGTTTCACTGTAATAAAAAGTACATCTTTATGGACGGAGATCAAAGCAGATCAATGAGTCTACTTCCAAGTGCATATAAATACACATCATCATCATTATCATCATCATCATCATCATCATCATCATCACCACTGATGCTATCAGTTATGTACATGGTTGAGAAAGTGATCACCGTATTTGACATAATAAGCGCCCAGGGCGCTCTCAAAATTAGAAATAGGGGGCTCTTATTAGAATAAAAGATCGTAAATTTCGTGGTTTATGCTGACAGCCTGAAATGATACAAAAGAAAAGTCTGTGTGTATTATACACGGCAGATATAGTTTTCCAGAATTTAATTGCCCATAATTAAGGGTGCATATAACACACGAGTGGGTATTATACATGAATAAATAAGTCTTGTGTATATTGATCAATCGGAAGGAATTTGAATTGTTCACTAGCCAATATATTAGCAAATATCGCCGTGGACGCTTATTAGAGTCGGGCGCTTATTACATGGAATACTGTACCACAAATATACAAGACTTCCTCTGTTGTATAGACAGAGCCAATCAGTACAACCTTCTACAATCAGTGGAACCTGTCAGAGAGCAGCTCACAACATGACATTGATGCTCAAACCAATTGCAACACATTAATAAATCGTATTTGACGGCTGTCAATGGTATTCACAATGGTGACAGTGTACAGTACCTTACTCTGGGCGGACACTCTACCACCTGGACCAGACAATCCAGTGATTGACATCATGAGCATTGATCCATGCAGTTATGATACGATTAGTCACCAAGCCTGACAGGCATGGGCTGCTGAAGACCAATTGTAATCCGGAATCTTCACAGGGTTTTTGGTGGAGTGAGTGAGTTGGGTTTATGGTCACTTCTAGTGTTGTAGGGCAATGGAGTAGCCTAGTGGCTAAAGTGTTTGCTCGGAGGCCAAAGTTCAATTCTCCACATGGGTACAATTTATGGTACACTGGAATATTGCTAAAAGCACCATAAAACCAAACTCACTAAATCACTCTAGTGCTGTAAGGTATGATACCCCTAGCACTCATATCCCATCCCAGCCCAGCCCAGCCCAGCCCAGCCCAGCCCAGCCCAGCCCAGCCCAGCCCAGCCCAAGCAAGCCAAGCCAAGCCAAGCCAAGCCAAGCCAAACACCCACACCCACTTTAACAATATAACTGCTGTTTTCTCGTGACCTGCTCAAAAGACCAAAGTAAATTAATTAATCGATTCTCATTTCACTAAGTGATGTCAGGGCTAAAGTTTGTTTGTCCCGCTGTCGGAATCATTACTTCTTACTTTTACTTTTCAGGTATAGCACAAGAAAACATCCTGTAAAAAGAGGCCCTTACTGAGAATAGTTCGCAATCTTACGCATTGAGCTTGAGAGTTGGGCTATTCACTTTGAGACTGAAACAGTATTTCAGTATTCTATACAAGTTGAATTTGCTTCATGTGAGTGGAAAGTCTATCATGATGCAGATCAAAATGATTTACCACTTTGTTGAACCCCATGACAGACCAAGGATCTTAAGTGAGGCATATCTGGATTCAAAGCCAGCAGATCCTGGCATGGGTAAGAGACTTAACCCTGTGTAGCCACTCTGAAGACAACAGGGTCACCAGTGCCCCCATTATTTCAACATACAAACATTTCTCAATTGACACTCCTGTGTAAACATGGAATGTCCACATACATACACTGCTACATGAAACCGAAAACAAACATTGCAAACAGTGAGGGAGAAGAAATGTCACACTGCTTTGAAGACCGTATGGCTGTTAATAACTTTTAACCTTTAGATAATCTTTATTTGTTCACAGGTTTTGATCATTAGAACAACAAGAGTTTGCCACTAACGTGGCTATATCCCCCCGTCCCTGTTGCAGAATTTATGACATAATTAAATCTAAACAAACCCTAACCTTTTTTAACCGAGGTGGAACTAGTCACGGAAATTGTAAAAAAAAGAAGAGTTTGGAACCTAAGTCCATCTTGTTGCCATGGAAACATAAATGACAGACCTGCAAAGTTTCATGAAAAAATATTGAAAGGTTTCTGAGTTACATGTATGCTCCGGAATCGAAACGTGACAGACGGACGGACGGAGCCCCTTTCTATATCCCCCGCCAACTTTGTTGGGCGGGGGATAATCATACTTTCACACTGGCATTCTACAAGTCAGTGTGGATAGTGACAAACAAAGACATCGAACAGCAACTCCTTTGTCAAGGCCAACCAATCATTTAATGTTACCGGTAACATTAAGTTTGAAAAAGTAAATCATAATTTAAGAAATTTAAAACTAATTTTGACTTGAATGTTGTTTTATTCCAGGAGCAAATTTATTGTGCTTTCTACCTTTAAGTCTTTGACAAATGAAATCTGTAAAACATGAAATACAATTGAACTGGACGAAAAATTAAATAACAATGTTGCTATTCTGACCATTGTTATGTTTGTGGAAACCAATACAAAATGACCAAGAGGACAAAAAGAAACTGTAACATTGTTCCATTATTTACCACGATACTCTTCAGTATCAAGGTAGTGTCAGATCTCTACTACCATCATCACGTCACGATCCATCTATTTACAAATCAAATATAAGAATCTCTTCTTCACAAAGCTGGTACAGCGGATCTCTTTTGAGGCTTTTCAATTTCTTCTTCAATTTCATCCTCAATGTCATCGTCGTCATCATCTTCGGTCGGGTTGTTCCTAGGTGGCGCCGGTAGGGAGTCGAGACTCGGCAACATCCCAGCCCTCCTGACCGGAGGTAGTCCTCCATCCAGATTGGGGAGGTCATGACCTTTCTTCAGGGTGTCCGAGGACAATGCTGGTGGGGGCGGTGAGAAGGGGTTGTCGAACCGTGAGACAGGTGGCTTGTCATCACCCATCAAGCTCAGATCGGTCGGCTCTGATTCATACAGCATCTCAGGTTTCAAGTTGGGCGGTTCTTTGTCCAGGTCTGGTACTGAAACAGATGGGTCAAGTCTTGAATCATCTTGAGGTGAAAATTTGAAGAGGTACAACATCCTACTTGTTTGTTGTTTAAGGCAGCACTCATCAATATTCCAGCTATATGACAGCGGCCTGTAAATAATTGAGTTTGGACCAGACAATCCAGTGATTGACATCCTGAGCATCGACCCATGCAGTTGGGATACAATGACATGCATCAACCAAACCTGACCACCTGATCCCATTAGTCGTCTTTTACGACAAGCATAGTTGCCTTTTACAGCATGCATGGGTTGCTGAAGAGCTATTCTACCCCGGAATCTTCACAGGTGCAAAATCCTACTGGTGCTGTGAGGTCACATCCTGCAAACTACCCTGGATCTGTCCCAGTGGAAGAATTAGTTTCCAAAGTTCACAGGCCAGGAAGGCTTGTTGACAAAAAATGTTGCACACCCTCATCATGTTTTACTAGCCCCACTTAATGGCTACAGCCTACATATTTTGTGTTAACCTAAATATATATCATATGTTTGGAGACCATTACACTAAACAATGTTGAAGATGATTGGCTGCTTGGTACTACATGTATATGGTTGTCTCACGTTTGTGGAAGTTCTTAGGCTTTCACATGCATCGCTAATAACGCATGTACATGTATATTGGTCATAATCAGTGTACAGGAAAAAAACAGTTTAATACTTGGTGTGGGTTTCTGATAAAGGCGCTAGACGTAACATGTGTCTAAATGCAGGGCAGGACCGAAGTCCTATAAACACTAAGAGGCAAGCTGCGAACATGGTCACCCATCCAACTACTCTCCTCCACCAGCACTACTAAACTTCACCTCATTTGCGACCTGTGCTCTGTGCACAGGACAACGTGCGACCACAATTTCCACAGACTTCACACTCTGTATGATTGGAATCAAACTAAACCAACACTTGAAACACCAAACTGCCTGGCAATATGATGGGACATGATCAACTAAGGCTAAAGAATAGTCTTGGTTCTCAGACACTGCCCACATCATCTTAAAGTCTCCCCCATGTTTCGTTTTTATTTCCATTTGTAAAAAACATCCTTATACTAATAAAAACAATGCGATCCAATATATGACGCAGTTACTTCCCTTTACATGTGCACTGATTTACTGCACATTTTGTGTTTATGGTCATGGTGGCAATAGGAGTTTGTATGTTTGTTTATGTAGGGAGGACCTTTCCCAGGTTAATGGTACAGAACTGTTTATTTGGTTACATACTAATCTGAACCAACAAACAAAACAAACCACCGCCCGCCCACACTATAACCAATTCTTTTACTTTTTTAAGCCTAACAAAGCTGCTATATCCCCACGTAATATGTTCGAGCCTCACCTCTATTCGAGCCCCTAAACAATATATAACGATGTGCTTAATGACGAAATCAAGGTAGATGCTTCAACGCTCAGTGAAGTAATGCTACGAATTAAGCTACACGACGTAAGATATTAAATAAGTAATGAAAGCATACCTCAAAACTTACTTTTTTCACTAATGCACATTTTAATCAAACTTGATCTGATGATAATTTTGCATCAGAACAACTGTATCCACTGATGATGATTCTGCTGCTGTTTGCAACTTCCTGTCTGCAATGTCATGTGACTGATCATGTTGTGCATCTATTTTTAACTTGACTGTCAGGGAGGGGCTCGAAATCAGTGACAGTAACAAGATGGCACCTGCTTGACTCGTATCCCTTGGCAATGCATTATCACGATTAAATTGACAGGATGTGGTCATTTGACGATCCAATTGTAAACAGAAATAAATGTTCGCAAAGGTAAGACTTAATTTTAGTGTATTGCAATTGTTATTAGACAAGTAATGAAAAATACACCGAAGACGACACAGCATGAGTGGATACATACAAGGAGTAGCTGACAGACTGGCTTCCACAGCGGACGAGGTTGTAGGTCGAGGTCCAGACTGAGGGATGACAACAGGGTCAGATACAGACGAAGTTGGACGGGGCGATTTTTCTGGAGTGGATGGTTTTGCTTCTTTCTTGGGTTCGGCTGCTCCCTGTTTCCAGGTGAGGTTGCCCCCCACCTGTAGAAGTGGACCCATCTTGCTGGCCACGTCCATCAGCTGGGGAGACACAGAAGTCCATAGTCCACAAATAATGTTGTTGGTTGGTTGGTTGTTTAACGCCACACTCAGCAATATTCCAGCTATATGACGGCGGTCTGTAAATAATCGAGTCTGGACCAGACAATCCAGTGATTAATATCATGAACATCGATCCACGCAATTGGGATCGATGACATGTATCAACTAAGTCAGCGAGCCTGACCCCCCGATCCTGTTAGTCGCCTTTTACGACAAGCATAGTCGCCTTTTACGGCAAGCATGGGTTGCTGAAGACCTATTCTACCCCGGAATCTTCACAGGTCTGCATGGCTTAGTGACCATCTTGGTGAAGCCTACAAGCACAAGCATGATGCTGACAAACCAAGGATGACAATCGGGGTGAAACTGGGTTACAGGTATGGCAGGAGTGAGTGAGTTTGGTTTTAAGCTGCTTTTAGCAATATTCCAGCAATATCACGGAGGGGGACACCAGAAATGGGCTTCACACATTGTACCCACGTCGGGAATCAAACCCCGGTCTTTGGCGTGACGAGCGAACACTTTAACCACTAGGCTAACTGACCGCCCCAGGTATGGCAGGACAAGGAACACAGCGCTGGTCATTTGTTTACAGGGGTGGGTGGTCAGAGCTTTTCCATGCACCACTGAACTGAATATAATGACCCTCCCTTCAGGCTCATATTTTTGGATGACCTACCCCATGTCCTTGTACACCTTTTCGATGAAGACAAAATTCAAAAGCATTTAATATTTAATTTTAAAATGTTCGTATTATCATTATCCTCCCCAAATATGTGTCATCGTTTTTGGAATACTCCCCGATCTCCTGTGACCCCACCCATCCAATAAATGACAGATCCCTAATTGGGGTGAATCTGGGGATACAACAAGTAGCTCCTGGCATGACAGTAACGTAGATATATATTATTGTCAGCTCCTAATCTGAACACACAGTACACACTTAGTACAGTCATCTACAACACATTACCTCCTGATCAATGGGCACGCCAGACTTGTAGTTCTTCACCCTCTGTTCAAACTGAGAAAGATTCTTCTGAGCCGACCTCCGGTCTCCAGTGTTGAGCAGGAACACAGCATAGTTGAGAGGGATGGACGGGTCCTTACTGGGGCACAAACAGGGTACAGATGTTTTTTGTTTTGTTTTGTTGCTTAACAATGCACTCAGCAATATATACAGACTGGGATGTACCAACTCCAGCTTTCAGTCTCATAAACATCTGATGTTTTACCTTGCGAAATTTGACCACCCAATCCACAATGATCCAAATGAAGAATGCTTCTCTCAGTTAGACTTCAGAATTTAAAAAGTCTTCATGCTGGTTGGCTGGTCAAAAAGTTCACAACCGTGAAGATCCGGGTTAGAACAGGGCCCACTTGCACAAAGCGCTACGACTATTGTAAGCCTATGTTAAAGTATGGGAGATACGATCATCTTAGCACTAAGATCGCTTTGTGCAAGTGGGCCCAGGTCTTCAGTAAAACCATGCTTGCCATAACAGGCGACTTTGCTTGTCATAAGAGGCGACTAACGGGATCAGGTGCTGACTTGGTTGATACATGTCATCATATACCAATTGCGTAGATTGATGCTCATGATGTCAATCACTAGTTTATCCAGACTCGATTATTTATGAACGCCGTCATAGAGCTGGAATATTGCTGAGTGCGGCCTTAAACAACATACAAACAAACAATTCACCTCATGTGACCACAGGTATTGTATTAGAGGAAAAGATCCAGCTATGATCATAATCATATTCTAGTTATCGGGAGAGTGAGTAGGGTTCTGCGTAACTTTCAGCAATTTTTCTAGTAATATTATGGTAGGGTACACTAAGTTGGAGAATCAAGCCCAAGTCGTCCTGGCACCTGCAAACACTTTAGCCACAAGGCTATCCCGCCTAGCAACTACGCTTTAGTTTACTTTAGCTTGTATTCCACTGCAGGAACACTGCATAAACCTTGCAAACTGCTAAATTATGATTACAAATAATTGAAGATGACATCGTTCATAACTCGTAATGTCACAGCATGTGTAAGTTCTTTGGAAAATCAAGGTGTAATTTGGAGAAAGAGTAAATGCTGTTTAACAATGAAGTCAGCAATATTCCATATATCACCAGCTTGTTGATAATCAGGAGTCGACGGAGCAAATCAGTGATTGAAAGCATTAACAATGATCATCTGGGTACATAGCATGCAACAAGTCAATGCCCTGTCACAGTCCCATTGTGCCCACTGAAGATCCAGGTTAGAATTGATCTTCAGCAATCAATGCATGTTGTAAGACTGACAGGATCGGGTGGTCAAACTCACTGACTTGGTTGATGCATGTCATCGCATCCCAATTGTGTAGATCCATGCTCGTGATGTCAATCACTGGATTGCCTGGTCCAGACTCAATTATTTACAGATTGCCGTCAAATAGGTGGAATATTGCTGAGTGCAGCGTTAAACAAAAAACACTATCATTTTCGTATTGCTGATTTGGAACTGCTAGCATTGATATAGCAGTATTTTCTGACCACCATCACATAGCTGGAATATTGCTGAGTGAGGAGGAAAACAACAAGCAAAAAAAACCTGTTGTGTTTGTCTATGATGAGAAAACGCAGGAGAGATTGGGAACCTCTTCTGACTCCAAACAGTGCAAATATTGAAGCGACACTGGCCCTGACTGCCATGGAGTCAGACTATGGCAGTCATGTCATGAAGTCAGACTGCGGCAGTCATGTCATGAAGTCAGACTGCGGCAGTCATGTCATGAAGTCAGACCGCGGCAGTCATGTCATGAAGTCAGACCGCGGCAGTCATGTCATGAAGTCAGACCGTGGCAGTCATGTCATGAAGTCAGACCGTGGCAGTCATGTCATGAAGTCAGACCGTGGCAGTCATGTCATGAAGTCAACCCGTGGCAGTCATGTCATGAAGTCAGGCCGTGGCAGTCATGTCATGAAGTCAGACCGCGGCAGTCATGTCATGAAGTCAGACCGCGGAAGTCATGTCATGAAGTCAGACCGCAGCAGTCATGTCATGAAGTCAGACCGCGGCGGTCATGTCATGAAATCAGACCGCCGCAGTCATGTCATGAAGTCAGACCGCGGCAGTCATGTCATGAAGTCAGACCGCGGCAGTCATGTCATGAAGTCAGACAAGGGCAGTCATGTCATGAAGTCAGACTGCGGCAGTCATGTCATGAAGTCAGACTGTGGCAGTCATGTCATGAAGTCAGACTGTGGCAGTCATGTCGGTGTGAATGTGACTCATCTATCAGTGGAACCAAACAGATCCCCAGGGAAGTCAGACTGCGGCAGTCATGTCATGAAGTCAGACCGTGGCAGTCATGTCATGAAGTCAGACCGTGGCAGTCATGTCATGAAGTCAGACTATGGCAGTCATGTCATGAAGTCAGACTATGGAAGTCATGTCATGAAGTCAGACCGTGGCAGTCATGTCATGAAGTCGGACCGTGGCAGTCATGTCATGAAGTCAGACTATGGCAGTCATGTCATGAAGTCAGACAAAGGCAGTCATGTCATGAAGTCAGACAAGGGCAGTCATGTCATGAAGTCAGACAAGGGCAGTCATTTCGGTGTGAATGTGACTCATCTATCAGTGGAACCAAACAGATCCCCAAGGAAGGTTCCTGTCACACATCATCCAGTTCCCTGGAGTGGAGACACAGAACATCTCGGAGTTCTACACCCACCTGTCTAGTGTCATGGCCTGCTCATAGGCCTGCTTAGCATTGTCCGGGTCCTCTAGGTTGGTCAGAGACACTGAAACAGTGTAAACACACCTGTACTATAACAGTTACATAAAAACAATCAGACAAACATTACCATATTTTCTTGAGTAAAGTGCGCTCCCAAGTATATTGTGCACCCCCCTCAAGCAAATTCAGTATTTTGGAGAAAAAAATAATTAATATTATGTGCAGAAAACAATTACACCGCACCCCTTCAGCAAACTCCGGTAAACGAACGGGTGTTACGAAACTTGGTCAGTACAAATTTATATCCATTCAAAAAGACATTTTCAAAATATAATATGCCATCACAATAGCCTATTTCACAAACACTGGCAAAATTTACAATCACTTTCAACAATTACCGTCTGATTTATGTGATATCTAAATAGTCTGCTGTTTTAACCCACGCCAAGGTAACAGCTGATCTATCCCTACCATCACATGTTCACTGCAAAGTAGGGGGAGGGGGGGGAGGGGAGGGGGGGGAGGGGGTGGGGAGGTAAGGGAATCTTAAGAGTGAAATGCTGGTAATTGAGGCCCTCTCCATGCTATAAAATACAGCTTTTGTGATTCGGAAATCTCAGTTGATAATTCTATCACATAGTTTCCATTTCGTCTAGAGTAACTTACAATGATACAAGAGGAGTGTCTCGATTGGACAGATGAAACATTATAGATGGATTTCATGCCAGGCCATAAACAAGATGTGCCTGCAATCGTAGCAGATGATGTGAGGCTAAATACATAAGCGCTCTCTTTAATATGTCTATGAAAATTAACCCTTGTGTGTTATTGGCCTTTTTTTTGTAAATTGGCATGTATGTTGTATAAATTAAGGAAAAAATCCGATTTTCATATCTCAGTTCCAAATTCATGACAAATATGACATATTTGAACAGTGCAGCTATGTTTTGTGAATTAAAAATAAAGATGATAAATATTTGATAATGTCCCTACCAGCCAAAAGCATGAAGAGCTGCGCCATCTTGGGTCGGAGGTTAATGGCGGCACTGAGGAAGTGGAATGCGGAGGCGTACTGCTGCATGGTGAGGTGCACCAGCCCAAGGTTGTACAGGATCTTCCAGTCAAACGGCGCCAAGTAGCTGGCTCGCTTCAAACAGCTGATGGCCTGCAACACACAGTCAGAGTTCAGACTTACCGTATTCCACGTAATAAGCGCCCCGCTCTCATAAGCGCCCTTTGCTAATATATTGAATAGCTAGTTAACAATCCCAATTAGCACCCCTTCCGATTGATCAATGTACACAAGACTTATTTATTCGTGTATAATACGCACTCGTTTGTTATATGTACCCTTAATTATGGGCAATCAAATTCTGGGAATAAATATCTGCCATGTATAATACGCACAGACTTTTCTTTTGTATCATTTCAGGCTGTTAGCATAAACCACAAAATTTACGATCTTTCAACTCTGTTTTTTTTTTCTCACGAAAATTATATTCTAATAAGGGCCCCCTATTTCTAATTTTAAGAGCGCCCTGGGCGCTTATTACGTTGAATACGGTAAGCATGAAACAGTGGGGTCTGTGGTGATTCCAGGTTAGAACAGATTCCCCAGAAGCTCATGCTGGTTGTAAGAGGCGAACAAAAGGATTGGATCAGGCTCGGAGACTTGGTTGATAGCGTGTCATTCCACCATGACGGCATGGAACGTTGGTCACAATATGAATCACTGGATTGTCTGGTCAAGACATGTTTATTTACGAGCCACCATCATATTGCTAGAATATTGCGGAGTGTGGCATTAAACAACAAACAAACAACAAAAACACTAACTTTTAAGGTTAAACAATTTTACGTTCCCCAGAGTCAAATATCATAGGAAAAACTTCTAAGACCCAAGGGCCTCCAATACTTTTCAAACACAGACAGAGATGGATTAAAGAGTGAACTCTTCATTTAAGTCAGAAACTGAAATATTGTTACATTACACACTGACCAGAATTATTTGGTCAATAGGCTCTACATTCATTGGCAGTGACCACATTACACATACTCACACACATGGGAAGATAACTCTTTTGAAATGCAGAAAAACTGTGAGAAAATATTGAATAGATGGAGTTATCTCCCTTCTGCTGCATGGCATGGAGCTGGCAAGTTTTGGCAGCCCTAGCAGTTGAGTGTGGCGGTAGAATGGGTTGACCGTTACATCACAATGATTCCAAAAGGAAAGAAATCAAGGCAAAAATTGCAGAAACTGACCACTTCCTCAGAATAAACAAAACTTTATATCAAAGAGTAAGAAGGGGCAGAATATGGCATTAAGTGCAGAAAGAAGTCAAAATCTGACATATGCAGCAATCCATCGGGCAATGCATGCTACAAAACCATCAATGTAATTATCAAAGGTCACAGTGAGCCATTGAGTGAGTTTGGTATAACGCCACATTGAACAGTATTCCAATTATATCCCGGCACATCAGCTTAATGAAGGAAGTAAGCCTGCAGTGATGGAAGTCTTAGATGTCCATGAATCCATGAGCACGAGTATGGTACTGACAAACTTAGAAACATCGTCAGGGCGAGCAAGAATCCGAACCCACACTGTAGGTTTCTGGTGTGCCCAAGGGATGCAACTTTGCACAGCAAATTGCAGAGCCTTAGACCCATGCCCCCAAAGGTAACAAGGAAAGGAATGGTAAATAAAGTTTGTTCCAAATTAATACACACCACATATTGTCGAGAAATGCTGTACATATATAGTTGTAAGGGGAACAGTTCAATATTTTCCACTGTAGCATTCGTGACCAACTCGTGTTATTCCGGGACAAGCCGAATAGCGACTCGTGCCCCTCTCATGGCAATTTTTGCAACCGGGTTCTGTCTTAGCGCAAACGGGCATACCTAAAACAATTGTCAACTGGGTGCGTGATGGTTCACATATATTTCCCCATATATTATATATATTCCAGATGCAAGTTACAGTACATCGGGACATGCAGAATTATACAGTATGATTGAACACAATTAACTGTGTCTTGGGTATATTTTAAGATGCAAGACATATATAAAATAAAAAAATATTTCTGAGGGATTCTTTGACGAAGAACTTGAAATCATACACGCATTCTGATTGGTTTGTCTATTTTCGCACATAACATTCATCGATAGGGGGACGAGTCTTCTTGCAGGTTACGGAAAGGGGCGAGTGGTGACGAATGCCACTGTAGTTGCTGGGGAGAATATATAAAGAAGAAACAATTTAAATATCACTACCACCCGTATCAACAGTGAACACTTACAGCCACAAACTTCTTCTTGCCAAAGAAACACATGCCAATATTGTTCCAGAGGGGCGGACTCTCTGGGGTGTTGACGGCAGCGATCCTGTACTTCGTCAAGGCAACATCAAAATCTGCGTGACTCTGCATCATACTCCCGGCAGCCATTATAGCCTTTGTGTGGGTTGGGTCAAAGGTCATGGCATTGCCAAGATTCTCAAACGCTTTCTGGTACTGTCCAATCTATGGTTAGAGACGAGAAACAGAATTTACAGGGCTCTATAACATTTGCTATGATATAGCGGACACTAGTATTTTCTTGTCAAATAACATCCTTATCTCATCAAGTGGCATGATAAGGTTGATATCTTCTAAACCACTGGTGAATATGTCACCTTTGTCAAGTCACAAGATATATGGTCCTTCTGTGAAAATATTTAAAACTTTGCACAATTACCAAATACTATTGCACACTAGGTTGGCCAACCCAAACAGTTTATGATAAAAAATAAAAATAAAAAACATATTGAACTACACAAGTATGATTCAATTGTTCTTTCAAACTACCCATGCTGACTGTCTCCATGGTCTAGTGGTAGAGCGTCCACCTGGTGAGTGGGGTTTGATCCCCGGCCGCGTCATACCAAAAGATGTTAAAATATGGTACTTGTTGTTACCCTGTCTGGCACTCGGCATTAAGGGGTTAAAACAAGGGTCAGTATACTGTGTCTGAGTGGGGTATTCACGTTAAACTGTAGCATGGTATCTCAGTGAGCTAGCACTATAAATCGACATCAGTCCGGACTAGTACAAGCAGCCACACAAACCCATGCATGCACCTCGCTATATAAGTGCAATAATCTTGGACGCGACGGTAAATCCAATTTCACCCAATTTCACCTTACCTCACCTAATCATGCTAACTGGTTAAAACATCAGTAAACCAAAAATGTAAAATGCATGGCCTTGTTTGTGCTAGGTGATGGCTGAGTCCTGGGACGTGTCCCGGAGGTACTGCTCCAGTAGAACATACCTGCATGTACAGCAAGCCAAGAGTCGTCAGTAGGTCGGGATTTTCAGAGGAATAACTAAAATAGAAGATAATTCACAATCAAATATAATATTCATGTGTTGTGTTGTGTTGTGTTGTGTTGTGTTGTGCTGCTTTGTGTTGATTGGATTGGATTGGATTGGATTGTGAGTGAGTGAGTGAGTGAGTGAGTGAGTGAGTGAGTGAGTGAGTGAGTGAGTGAGTGAGTGAGTGAGTGAGTGAGTGAGTGAGTGAGGTTGTGTTGCTTTGTGTTGATTGGATTGGAGTGAGTGAGTATTGTTGTGTTGTGCTGATTGGAGTAAATGTGTGAGTGAGGAAGTATTGGTGTGTTGATTGGAGTAAATGTGTGAGTGAGTGAGTATTGTTGTGTTGTGCTGATTGGAGTAAATGTGTGAGTGAGTGAGTATTGTTGTGTTGTGCTGATTGGAGTAAATGTGTGAGTGAGTGAGTATTGTTGTGTTGTGCTGATTGGAGTAAATGTGTGAGTGAGTGAGTATTGTTGTGTTGTGCTGATTGGAGTAAATGTGTGAGTGAGTATTGTTGTGTTGTGCTGATTGGAGTGAGTGAGTGAGTATTGTTTTACGCTGCTTTTAGCAATATTCCAGCAATATCAAGGCGGGAGACACCGGAAAATGGGTTTTGCACATTGTGCCACTGTGTGGATTGTAGAGGTGTGGAGGGGAGTTGAGTGGAGTGGTGTGGAGCGGTGCCGTGCGGTGTGGGGTGGATGATCAAGTGAGTGGATATATGTACTAGCTGTGTGTGTGACTTACTCGACTGCACTCTTGTACACCTCTATAGCAGCATTGATGTCATTCTCCATCAAGTGTATCTTGCCCAGCATCACATAAGAGATTTCATGGCGCCGGCACTCAATGGCCTGCTTCAAACATTCCTTGGCCTGCAAATGCCAAGTCAGAAATAATCCTTGGAAGACAATAGGATGATATCAGAAGAGAAAAGGTGATAACAAATAATCTGATGTTCAGCACAGTGAGGATGCATTATTTGGATACTGTGCAGATATAATGAACATTGCTGATAGTCAAATAGTCCATATTTTTATCTTGAACCAAATAATGTATTTTCAACAAACTACAAGAAAATCTTCTCAATGTGCCCAACAGGGAAAGATTTTGTACCCAAGGTAGGACATGATTTGTTAAACAATGTACATTTCAGTATTAAACAATAGGAGTTAATTATTTCTGTATTTCAGATAAACAAATAAATAACAAAACAAATGGTGCTCCATTTCTGATGGCCAGTTATTTTCTAAGCTAATTGGTCACTTGACCTAAATTAATTTAAATCCATGTTCAGCAATATCAGAGCAGTATCACCGCAACTGATGGGGGTTATCTCCCTTTGTTCAGTCAAGGATGTAATCACCAGACCTGTATGATGAATGTTTTGTGAAATGGCCACAGTTACGAACCTTGGGGAAGTCTCGAAGGTACATGTAGCACACGCCTTGATTGTGGTAAATCTCCTGCAAACAAATAAACACTATCTGATATATGACAGGAAGCATTTCTTCAACAAGTTATCATGAGTCAATGTAAGTTAATATGTTTTTAAACTGCTTTTATCAATATTCCAGCAATTTCAAGTCGGGAAACACTGGAAATGGGCTTCACACAGAGTATCCATGAGAGGAATTGAACACAGATCTTTTGCATGATGAACGAACACTTGAACCACAAGGCTTACTCTATGGGCCTCCTAAGTGAATACAAGGGAGTCGGGTTTCACCCACATTCAACAATATCACACCTGGGCAAGTCAGGGATTGTCTTCACACACTGTACCCATGGTGAATCATCTTCCTGAGACAAGGGTGTTAACTGATAATATAAGTCCAGTTTCCACCCTTGCTGAACTACGCTGGAATTTTCAGGCTCGATCGTAGCACCACCAGTGGCTATTACGAGTTATGTCCCTTCTTTTTCCCTTCTTTTTCCCTCCTATTGACCAATCAGATTCCATCTTTTATATTACTTGCATTTGCTTCAAACAAAATGGCGGCACCCAGTTAAGAGGATCTGATCCAGAATCAAGATCTTTATTGTTATAAAACGGGACTTACCCCGCGAAGTGCATCAAATCACTTGAGCACCTTGATTAAAAACATGAAAAGATTTTCAAAATATCTGAGGATACCCAGTTGAGAGTATACATGCTTTGCAAATCCTGCAGTCAACCGGAATCTGCACGTTGAAATCCATGTTGTTTACAAACAGGATGTCTAGTTACGCGATTCTGATGGGACTATGCATAGACTCATTAGTCCAGCAAAAATGTAACTCTGGAATACCAGCCTAGTTTTCCCAATTTTGTATTTATTTTTTATGTTTATTCAGGACACAACCATTTGTTTATCACAATATAGATCTTGATTATCGATCAGATCCTCTTGACTTGGGTGCCACCATTTTGTTTGAAGCAAATGCAAGTGATACGAGAGGTGGAATCTGACTGGTCCATAGGTTAGGCTTAGAAGGGACATAACTCATAATAGCCATTGGTGGCGCTACGATAGAGCCCAGGAATTCCAGCCTAGTTTGGCAAGGGTGGAAACTGGACTTTTATAGTCAGTTAACTCCCTTGCCTTGGGAAGATGATGGGGAATAGAACCTGGGTCTTCTGCATGACACACATACACCTTAACCACAAGGCCACCCTGTGTCTTACAATCTTTGTCAAAAATGGAAAATAAGGAAAGAGATGAAGGACTTCAATTTTCAATCTGGAACTCTTAAGTTCTTTTGAAAGACGTATATCTACTTGGACATGTGGAGTTATGTGATTAATAACTAGGTTAGTAAATCATATACATTTTTAGAATATTTTATGACTTGTAGGTAATCAGATGTGGAAATGCTGGGTCCAGATTTTCAACACGATCTCAGGAATAAGACCTAAGATAGACCTAAGATATCTTAATATGTCACACATTCTAAGAAAGCTCGATATCTGTCAGAAGTGTTACGGTAACCAAAGGACAATCAAAAGGAATATTGGCATTGATAATGAAATAAACATAATACAGGTACTATCAGATTAAATGGTTCTATTCAACATGAATGATTCATAGAATAAAAATATTTTTGGAAGAAATCTTACCATTTTTGCAAAACCCTGTTCTCTCTGTTGGTAACCATGACAACCATTATAACAGTGGCGTACACCCATGCAAGTCAAATACCAGGTGAGTTTGGGGGAAAAGGACTTTCATTAGCATTATTATTATCAATTAATTATTATCCATAACAATCACATTGAACTTGTAGATGTTATGATCAGCAATAAATATAACAAATATTAATTACATTGAACATTAAATATCTATTTTAAGTACACGTTTGCTAAATGTTTTGAATAGAAGTTTGTTTGTTTTGTTTGTTTGTTGTTTAACGCCACACTCAGCAATATTCCAGCTATATGTAGCGGTCTGTAAATAATCAAGTCTGGACCAGACGATCCAGTGATTGACATCATGAGCATTGTTCCACGCAATTGGGATACGATGACATGCATCAACCAAGTCAGCGAGCCTGACCACCCGATCCCGTTAGACGCCTCTTACGACAAGCATAGTCGCCTATTTTGAATATTAACTATAATAACTAAGCAATTATCAAAATTAATGTAATTATGTTAATATAAGCAAGAAACAGTATACTTGTACATGCTGTAGTAGAAATTGATCATGAAATACAACACAACACATGAAACCCATGGGCGTACATGTACTGCCATAGTTCAGAGTTTACAGCAGTTGAAGATAGTTGACAGCACAAAATATTAAAACCATATTTACACAACAACAATAACATAGACTATGCACATAGAAATACCGCACATTCTTTTTTCGTTTGTTTATTGTTCTATAGGTTATATAGTCTGTCTACCCTGAACCAGCCAAACCAGCAATAGAAATTGGAACTAGTCCTATAGTCCTTAACTGCTTAATAGTTCATGTATCATAAGGATTACTTCCCTTAAATTTGAACATTATTTAGTTTTCTTTTCAACATGCAGGGCTCGAAAAAAAAATTCAACCCTACTTGTCCTGCAGAGCAAGTGCTTTTTATTTTGTACTCGTCCTGCCAAATTTTCACTTGCCCTATTGCTCAATGCTGAACAGACAATATCATGTATCATGTACCATGTAACCACTGAAAACAAAGTAAATAAATTGTTTCAAGATTTATTTTGTGTTTTTATTTCCACAGCAAGACAATATTGAATAAATTAAGGAATAATAAGTTAAGTTATTTTGAACAGTTAGGTTATGATGAAAGACACATCAATCTGTCACTGTCAGTGTGATGCAGGGGAGTTACAATAAACAGTACTGTAGACCCCAAAGTTCAGAGCAAAAGTTTCACATCAGCCTGTCACTCTGTCAGGGTGATTGTGGAAGAGAAGACACCTGGAGATGATTGAATGCCTTGCAAGCATGATCATTCAAATAATTTGTACCAAGTATTACACCATTCTTAGACTGCAACTGACAAAGACTTGGAAATTTTGAAAATGGTTCCCCTTCTATTGCAACATAGTAGGCTGTTGTGAATAGCTTTTCATAAACTTCACTGTTTTTTTCGTCAACTTTTTGCATTGACTTGGCAAACTGCGCAGTCTGGGGTTTGTCAAAAATTTTATCATGTTCACAGCACTGAATATGCTTCCTACTTTTAGCGTGAAATTTTTACAAACCTGTAGAGTTATGAATTCTCTGATGAAATCCTCCTTGGGGCACTTATTGCATTTTCCTTGCTCAAGAAAATCTACATGACATAGTTGTAACCATTTTCCTTAATAAAAAATGTTACCACACAAAAAACTTCGTTTTTGTATGATATACGACCACCCTTACGGGGCCTCACCCCCAACGGCGCCTCACGCCAGGGGGAGCAACTCTCACCCAAATCACTTTCCATATGTCAAATGCTGACGGAATGTGGGGAGGTGGGTGGCCGTGCCCCAAGGAGGATTTCATCAGAGAATTCATAACCTCTACAGGTTTGTAAAATTCTCTTTCTGATTAAATCCTCCTTGGGGCACTTATTGCATCAAGACAGACTCCCAAAGATAATCTAGGAAGTGGCATCCGTCAGCAACAGGCGTAAATAAATACATCGTATTTGATTATTCAACAGAATAAAATATTGAGTTCAATAAATGGAACCAACCTTATCGTGAGGCACCACCGTCGAAAGGCGGGGGCTAGAGACAGGGCGTGGTCAACCATATATTATGATAAAGCCTGTTTTTGCGGCTTGTCATAAGTTGAGAACTCGAAACACCTCCCACCCCCCCACACTTTTTTGAACAAGTGATATAAGGGCGTAGATCACGAGAGACCATAACCAGCGCTGAGCTAGGCCAGAGGGTTCCCGAGGATCGAAGGAGTGCGTGCGCAAAATACGAGTATTATCGAGTAGTAAGGACTGATATTTATCGACCGCAGAAGATAAAATCCGGACCATTACTGAGCAGTATAACCGGAAGACTGTCTAAAATCTCGAATGCTCAATCAGCTAGAGATTAGAACTTTGCCCAATTCGGAGAACTGACTGACCAAACCGAGTACGCTCGCTTGAGTGTTTGTCGAGTTGGTAAGGTTTGATTCGGCTGGCTCCAAATAGCCGCGGAGCAGATCTGCTCAATGGGCAGAGCCGCGGCGTACGCTTTTGACGCAGCAACTGCTCTAACCTAATGAGCCTTCAACCTGGTAGGGGGGTCCCTGCCTGTAAGCGTATACGCTGTACAAATGGTTGAAACTATCCACCTCGAGATAGATTGTTTACTCGCAGGTGAGCCAACCTTCCTACCGCAGAAACAGCAAAATAGTTGGTTATCCTTACGGACACCCATATTTCTGCTGATATAGGCCTTGAAAGTCGTGCGGACATCCAAGACATGAGCATGTCTTGCAGTGGTCCCCGACGAGGAAGGCTGTGATAGAGCAGGTAGCTCAATAGGAGCCGTTCACGTGGAATCGTGTGCGACCCTAGGACGGTAATAGTCCGGTAGACGAAAACTGACTGTCCCGGTGATATTTATCGACCCCATGGAAGACAGTTATTTTGGGATCGGCTGACATAACACGAATGTCGCCTACCCGTCTGCCGGACGTTACCACCACAAGGAACGCCATCTCCCAGCTCAACAGCTGAAGAGAGAGAGACGACCGATCCCGAAAGGAAGTACCGGACAGCCAATCGAGAATGATTGACAAGTCCCAAGGGGGACTGATCCGCCGGACTGGCGGTCGGATCCTGTCCACACCTGCTAAAAAGCGCTGCACTAATGGGTGTGCACCCAGAAGTGCCCCGTCGACAGGGACGTGAAAAGCTGCGATAGCTGTAGAGTACCCTCGGACTGTTGATGCGGCCAGGCCGTCATCTAGTCGCGACTGGAGAAACTCAAGCACGGATACGAGATCTGCAGAAAAAAGATCTGCAATCCCTCTATCGACACACCAGGGCGCATAGCAGGCCTATCTATCGTACTGAACGTTTGTCGAATCCCTCCGCGAAGCCAGTATTGTGTCTGCAACTCGTGCAGGAATACCGCTCTTCTGGAGGCGATTCCTGACAGTGGCCAAGCCACCCATTGAATCCTGAGATTCGGGTGGAGGGCCCCGTTCTGGGATAGGAGGTCCGGTCGTAAAGGTAATATAACAGGAGGCTGAGCCAGAAACCTGAGTATTACTGGAAACCCACTCTGCGCCGACTAAAGAGGTGCCAGGAGCACAATTAGTCGCGCAGGCTGAGTGCCTAGCTGAGACAGGACCTTGGTGTCTGGTTATTTAACCCAGACGCAAACAGATCCACCTGTAACGACCTGTATAACAGGGAGAAAATCCCGAATATCCCCGGGTCGAGCCTCCACTCGTGAGGAGCGAGGATCCGGCAAGACAGAGCGTCCGCACGGACGTTGTCCACCCCCGGGAGATAAACAGGTAGCACCCTGATATCGTGAGAGTCGCACTATAGTAGGAACTGCCACGTCTTTCGTTGAAGCGACGGAGACGCCGTTCCCCCCTGCTTCCGGATGTAAGTCATCGCCGTTTGGTTGTCCATCTCTAGACGAACCACTTGGCCACGAAGCAGATCCGGGAAGCGTTGGAACACCAACCTGACCGCTCTCAGTTCTAGCACATTGATATGCAGTTTGATCTCCTGCTGGGACCATAGTCCCGAGGCAGTGTGATCATTCAGAACGCCTCCCCAGCCGGAGAGTGACGCGTCTGTTTGAACTGTGAGAGACGGAACGGGGGTGATTCCCGACCTCGGTCCCTGGAGGTGTGTAATGAGCCACTACGGAGTCTCGAGCACAGTCTCGAGATCTTCCGAGTTCGCCCAAAGTCGACGGAGTGCTTGTTGAATGGGACTCATTCTCAAGCGCGCCCGCCAGACCAAATCCACTGTCGCCGCCATGTTGTCCAGTAACTGGAGCCATGTACGAGCAGTGTGACTTGCGCTTAAGGGACTTGATATCTTGTGACAGAGATACACGTCCTCTCACCGTGTTGAAATTAGCCACTAGGAAGACTAGATTCTGAGTGGGGCTCAGATCTGACTTCTTGAGATTGACCATCCACCCTAGAGTGATCAGAATATCTATCACTTGTTGTGTAGCTATCTGACTCAGGGATTGCAATAGAGCTCTTAGTAACCAGTCGTCGGGGTACGGATGGCAGAACCGACCTTTTGACCTGGCCACTTGGGCGGGAATCAACATCAGCTTGGTGAACACCCTCGGGGCCGTGGAGATCCCGAATGGTAGAACCCTGAACTGATAACACCTCCCGTCGAAAGAAAACCTCAGGTATTTCTTGAACTCGGGGTGTATTGGTATGTGGAGATAGGCGTATTTTAAGTCTATTGACGTTAGCCATTCTCCTGTCTCGACAGTTGAGATCACTGTTTGGTGACTAGGAAACAAGTCGAGTAGAAGCCCTCACTTTCCTGTCCCTCGGGACCCGGTTCGATCGCAGCTTTCATAAGAAGTGCGTCGACCTCGGCACGGAGGAATTCCGCCTTCTCTCGGGTAGCAGGCACCGGAGTGTGCTTTATCCCAGAAAAGTGGAGGAGCGGATGAGTTTTCCACCGAGGCAAATGGCCATCCCTTAA